CGGACGCCATATCTGCTGTTGTTTTAACAGAGCCTTCATCTTAATTTGCCATAGCCCGAAACTATTTTTCCCGGTAAACTTCTCAATTCTTATTGTTGAATCTCCTGCCATTGTTATCTTCAAGAAACTCTCCAAGGATTGAACCTGAGCTCTTGATACCAATTGTTGTGCGACAGCGGAAGCAAAGGTCGAAAACAAACAAGAAAACAATAAAGAAATTCAATGCAAACAATAAGAACAACACCAAGAATTTACGTGGTTCACTATCGATGTGATAGCTACGTCCACGGGCACCGAGATCGAATGATTTCACTATAAACTGCAAAGATTACAAAGATGATTCTTGTATTTCTCAAGAACGGCTCTCACTCTGTCTCTCTTCACCCTAATACTGATATTAGGGAGGTTTTATATTAATCCCTAATTAAAAGATACTTGGGCAAAAAGATAATAAAATAAGATAACCTAAAACCGCAAAATCCGCGTTCCGTATTTTTCCTTCTCCGCCCGGTCAGACCGGGCAAGGTCTGCCCGATCGGGCGCGAGAAGAAAACTCCATACGAATGCTTCAACGTATCCAACCCCCACCGCCCGGTCAGACCGGGCAAGGTCTGCCCGATCGGGCGAAGGCTCGCCCGGTCGGGCGAAGGCTCGCCCGGTCGGGCGCGAGAGCAGCTTCTTCAACGAATTTGCCAGGCACCTCTTCTTCTTCCGCCCGGTCAGACCGGGCAATGTCCGCCCGATCGGGCGGACAAAGCTACGAAGTACGAGTCACCTAATATACTTATCAACAGATGGTGTGTGCATTATTGTTGAGGTTGTCTCTGCTCGGCACCAAGCATGGTGTTGAGGCGAACTCGATTATTCTCTATATTGAGAAATCTAACCGAGGAGCTTGCATATGGGGTGAAAGAGCTTCCTTGATGGACAGACTCCTACTAATTCTAGAGGAGCACCAAAACGTACAAGGCAAAGAATCCATATTGAAGTGTATTTGTCATATCTCCCAAAACATGATGGATATGGGTGGTGTTGTTCTTCAAAGTCCAGATGAAATGCTAATAAAGATGGCTGAATACTTTGTGAATGGCCTGTCATTAGATATGAAAATTTGGAGTGGCAAGTGTTTGATTATTTTTCTCAACCGCCATTTGTATCATGATGTCTCTCTGTACATCTACAACGAACTTCGTAGCATTTTGCACTTGTTGAACCCAGCAGAAGAGGAATTAAGGGCCCTTCTTCAACAGATTAGAGCTCTCATTGGTTGATGTCTACTCCAGCTTATATTACTCTACACTCTACGGAACAAGTCAACAATATAGTACTTTAATCATGTAGCAAAAATATACTCATTAGTATTACTAAATTGTACATGGTGAAACAGGAGGTCAGGAGCCATTATGGACTACGTGTGGTGCATCATATAGGAGATAATATAGGAGAAGATTTTATTTTTTTCCCTTTGTTTTAGGCAAAAAGATAAACACACACACAAAAAAAAAATTGTACTGCTAAGAATTGTAGGTACAATTTGGAGGCGCTTGGAAACCAAAAAAAAAAAAAAAAAAAAAAAAAAAAAAAAAATACTACTCTTAATATAATACTAGTAAGAATTAGATAAATCATTCGCCTTTTCGTATTCTTTCATAACTGCAACCTACCCTTTTTTTTTAAAAAAAAAACTTGTCAAAAAATTATCCTTAGTTATACTTGGAAACAAATCTTAAAAATCCATAAAAACAAGTGGCATTTAAGTTTTCTGTTATCAAATATAACAGTAAAGATATAATTAAGTATAGTTTCTTGTTATCTATTTACTCCGTAATTTACTAATTTGCATATATTTCCATAAGATAAAATTTAGAATCATAAGATATATTTTATTTGTACCTCCATAACCATAGAGAAAGTTATTATTCTTATCAAATAAAAGTCCCTCGTATTATTATTTTCATCTTAAGCTAACCATAGAGAAAGTTATTATTCTATCAAATAAAAGTCCCTCCATATTATTATTTTCATCTTAAGCTAACCATAGAGAAAGTTATTATTCTATCAAATAAAAGTCCCTCCGTATTATTATTTTCATCCTAAGCTAATCATAGTGAAAGTTATTATTCTTATCAAATAAAAGTCCCTCCGTATTATTATTTTCATCCTAAGCTAAGCTACCATGTTGCCCGAAGAGTTGATCTTTGAAATACTGTTACGATTACCCGTGAAATCCCTTGTAAGATTCAAATCAGTCTGCAAAAACTGGAAATTAATAATCACAAACCCTAAGTTTACCAAACTCCAATCATCCTTTTCAAAAAAGCGATATGATCTTGTATCATCGCATGTTGTGTTCCAATATAGACCCATAATGGCCCTTCATCTTGATCTTACGAACAAATTATACACAAATAATTATAAATTGGTACCAATGGCATCAAAATATTTCAAGCTCAACTTGCACAATTCCAATTTCGTAGGATCATGTAACGGCATACTTTGCATTCATCTTCTTAACAACGCTAATGATTTGTGTTTATGGAATCCCACGATTGATGAAGCACGGTACATCACATTCCCTAACAAGTACAAATATCTAATTTTATTTTCCGGATTTGGGTACGCTCCCTCTATTGATGACTACAAAATCGTGTTGGCGGTTCAATATATGTACGAAAGACGTCGTCATAGATCAATTATAGTGTACTCAGTGCGTCGTGGCCAGTGGAAGGAATTAGATGATGCTTATTGCTCTTCGGCTATACCCCATATATACACACAAAAATATGGAGGCAACTTTACTTGGTGGGCTATACGTTCGGAGCCAGTTGTATTAGACGATGCACTACATTGGGTTATAGGTAATCATCATAATAACGCAGATTCAGTTTTCTTCATTCTTAGATTCGATATGGTGAGTGAGTATTTCAACAAGGCCGCTGATCTGAGGAAAATCATGATTAACCAAGAATTGATGGATTATACTAATATTGGTAATAAAACATATGAATTACTGTTGAAGCAAACAGAAATAGGCTTGACGGAGGACAATAAAATTGGTGTTTATCAGTTGTACAATGAGTATTACAATCAAGACCTTGGTCGTAAGCCAAGGTTAATGCGAGAAGTTGTAGAGGTACGCGTTATGTTGGACCAAGATTGGAAGATGAAGTATAGATACCAAGGAAAATGGGGAAAGGACAATGTTGATCAAAATTTGCAAAGCATTACGGGTAATGGGAAGGTCGTGGTTATGGAGAGTTCTCAAATGCAAAATGGAAAATTGCCCTATCAAATACTTGATTTGAGTCAGCCCAAACCTAAACCTTACTTCATTCATGTTGCTCCTAATGTTAGCAATGGTCATCCTGGTCACACAGTTGTATTTATGGCTAACTATGTTCCAACCCTCATTTCTCCTAATTCTTTTTCAGAGCTTTTTTGGTGCAGCAGGCCACGCGGTGTGGCCTGCTGCCAAGTCAGTAAAAATAACGGATTCTGACGCGCGCATAACGGGGTTACTATTCACGCGCATAACGGGGTTACTGGTTTTGTCAGGGTTACTTGTATTTTTCAGGGGTTACTTGTATTTTTTTTTTCAAGAGTTACTTGTAATTTTTTTTTCAGGAGTTACTTGTATTTTTTTTTCAAGAGTTACTTGTATTTTTTTTTTCAGGGGTTAATTGTATGGATTAGTTATTCAAGGGTTACTTGTATTTTCAGGGGTTACTTGTATTTTTTTTTTTTTCAGGAGTTACTTATATTTTTTTTTCAAGAGTACTTTTTTTTTTTTTTTTTTTTTTTTTTATAATTTTTTTAGGGGTTACTTTTATGGGTTAATTCAAGGGTTACTTGTATGAGTTACTTATTCAAGGGTTACTTATATGAGTTATTTCAAAGGTTACTTGTATGAATTACTTATTCAATGGTTACTTGTTACTTATTCAAGGGTTGATTGTAGGTTGGTTTTTTTTTTTTTTTTAAAAAAAAAGGGTTGTTTGTAGGCCCCATACCAAACCAGTAACACCCTACAAGTAACCCCCGACCAAAACCAGTAACACCCTACAAGTAACCCCCGACCAAAACAAGTAACACCCTACAAGTAACCCCTGACCAAACCAGTAACTCTTGACCAAAACCAGTAACACCCTACAAGTAACCCCTGACCATACCAGTAACACCCTACAAGTAACCTAACCCCTGACCAAAACCAGTAACACCCTACAAGGCTACAAGTATCCCCTGACCAAAACCAGTAACACCCTATAAGTAACCCCTAACCAAACCAGTAACACCCTACATGTAACCCCTGACCAATCCAGTAACACCCTATAAGTAACCCCTGACCAAACTAGTAACACCCTACAATTTTTGACGTGGAATGTTCGATTTGAGATTCCACAAAGAAAGAGCTCAAATTTCGTTGGTTCTCATCGATTTCACTACTTCAAATATTGTTCATGAACAATTTGACAACCAATTTCTACAATTTCAGGCTTTAATTGTAGCAATTTAGCAAAGAGGAGAGAGAAAATGGGTAGAGTAGAGATATGGTTGTTAGTGATGTGTGGTTTGACTTGAAGAAGAAGCTAAGAAAAGAGGAGAGAGAAAATGGGTGGAGTAGAGATATGGTTGTTGGTGATGTGTGATTTGGCTTAGAGAAGAAGCTAAGAAAAAAAAGGAGAGAGAAAATGGGTGGAGTAGAGATATGGTTGTTGGTGATGTGTGATTTGGCTTAGAGAAGAAGCTAAGAAAAAAAAGGAGAGAGAAGAGTTGTAGTATTTTTATAAAAAAATAAAAAATAAAAATTGTGGCTGGCCACACCGTGTGGCCAGCCACATACAAAAATTTGTGATTCTTTTTAATTATTTTTTTGTTTGAAAATATGTTAATTAAATTAGTTATGAACTGGTAATTTATTTATTTATTTTTTGCAATCTATTGTACATTTGTACATGTTTAAAATTCAGTTTTCATCTTGGCTCGTGTTGGATGAGATCAACTCGAACAAAAAAATTGAGTTTACATGTTACTCCTACAGTCTTAATATACATACAAAACTTAAATGTAGTATAAAGATAAAAAAAAAACAATAAAAAGAAATTCAGGGGACTAATTCTTCACCATAACAAAAAATGAGTAGGGATGACAAACTGGCACTTTATGTGTCGCGTTTTGTTGTAATCCTTGAGTTCATGAAGTAATCATCATAAACACGAACTAACAACTTTCCAAACCTCTTAAGATCCAATCTCACGTTTTGATCATCCAAATAAACCTTCTTAGTAAACTCCCACCCCTTTTTATTCACACTATTAGGGTCACTCAAAACAGGATCATCTTTATCATACTTGTAGTACAATGAACTTTCTCTAGGATGAATTTTGTACCCTATGTACTTTAATCCCATCTTTTTCGCGGGTTCTCCATAATAATTCTCGGATGCCCAATCCGTTCCTAGAGGAATAACTTGAACTAAGACGCGATTTTTCTCTAGGAAGAGAAAATGTGTCATGGCAGCTCCATGAACTCCAATCATAACATCACTACTACTTATTTCTTTGTAAATGATACCTAATTCGGTGTTTCTATTAGGTTTCAATATATGTACGCTGAACCCGATTTTTTTTGCCAATTTTATCAATGCATGCTCGTTAGTTATGCCTCTAGACCCACTTCTAGACAATAAGACCATTCTCGGCTTCTTCTTGAGGTTTACAACTCTTTTTGGGGCATGAAAAGCTCGACTTAGAAGGTTTCGAAAGCCTAAGGTGTTTGCTTTGCTCATTGATGAGTCGATTGTGAGCTCATTGTGGATTTTTAGCCCAACGACGGCTTCTTGAAAGCAATGTGTCTTGGAATTGGAATTGAATATGATAGGAGGATAGTTTGAAAGTTGTGATATAATTTGACTATACTTTGTGTACCACCAAGTATGGTATTCTAGGATAACAAAGACTACTTCTTTGTTGAAATGTTGTGATGTGATGTACAAAGGGATTATACCGTCGTTGAATTCATGGTACACATTGCCTGTATAGCCTCCCGTTGAGAAGAAAATGGCAGGGACGTGGTGTGTGACGTTGCATTTGTGACCGGAGTTAGCCAAGGGTTTGTGTTTTGAGATTAGGTGCAATTGATCAATTGTGTTCATTACACTAGTCTCCCATTTTCGGGTATATGGCTTGATGGTTTCATGTTGTAACTCGTGTTCATCATAATTTGTAGGGATGTCAAGTAGAGGGGCTTTCGGGGTTGTAGATGAGTATAGGAAGATTGAAGAGGATGAAGAGTTTGTTCTAATATCTCCTTTCATGAAACATACATCTGTACGAAAATGGCTTCGATCACAATAAATTGTTCCTGCATTCAAACAAACAACCATATGACTAAACATTAAATTAGAAGTAAAAATTATGAACATATATACGTGTGATGTGCACCTTATACGTCGAGTAATCCTAACCACTTGTACGATACTTTTTAAACATATGCCTATATGCAATATGCACGCACAAGGCTATGCTCTCTAATGAAGCCAAAAAATAGAGGAAATAAACTTACCATTTGATGCAGAAGAAGCAATTGGAGGATCCGAACCCGATATTTCGTACGACAATTTATCTCGTCCTTCTGATTAATCAACAAGAGTGAATAAGAGAAAGGGTCAATTTATCATGCATGAAACATATTAAAAACAGAGCTAATATTCAACATAAAGCTTGGGCACAAACTATTAAAACATAACATCAACTTAATAAAAATAAGCAAATACTTCATACTAGGAAAAAACACTTTATAAATTCCTAGTTGTTCTCGAGTTGTAGAGTACAGTTTTATTTTTACTCTCCAAACTACCACAAATTAAATTTAGGTATATTCGGGAATCTTATGGACATGCTAACAAAATTTAACTAATATAAATGACAATGATACTATGATACTGAAATAGTAACAAAACATTTGATATGGACTTACGATGTGTACAAGATAACGAAAACGGAAACCCGAAAATCTGAGACACCCAAATGAGGCTGCAAGAGAGCAAAGAGAGGCAGAGTAGTGAATATAGCTTAGACTTTTTTCTCTTGGATGACCTTAATTCTTCCTTCATAATCTTACTTGTAATTGTTTCATCAACTTTCCTTACATTATGAAGATGATCAATATAGTACTTTTGAAAATACACCATCTTATATAAAAAAACAAAATAAAGTGATATTCTGTTTTACTTCTTTCTTATTAAGGAAAACCAAACATCCAGCTCTATAATTCTATGGGTATAAATTAAAGTTATAAGAATCTCCCTCTTTTGAACTCTCAAGAAATGTAATAAAGATAAAACATGTCAAGAACACGATGAGGGTTCATACACGTATCTTTAAATCTCTTTGTAACATCTTAGCTATTTAATTTTAAGGGTACTGAGATTTAGAAAAGCTCCGAAAAATAAAGGGTATCATAGGAAGAAAATTAAAGATTGCGACGAGGTATAACGATTGTGAAGGGAAGAAAGATATTTAATAGAAAAATGAGAAGTTGCACGAAGTTATAGTAAACCTTATAATTAAGGAAAGAAAAAAAATTAATGTGTCAAACTTCAACAAAAGGAGGCGTTGGGTAAGAGCGTGTGCTAGTTTTTGCTCTTGTTTGTATTGGTCAAATAGGGGAATTAGGAAGAAGAGTTCTTATCTTGTGGATTTAAAATGCATGGAATTTTTTTTTTTTTTTAATTAATTGTATTTTTTTTTTTTTATAGTTTATTTATTTTTTATTTTTATAATTTTTTGAAAGAATTTTTATAATAATTTTGTTAAACATAGCTTTTAGCTAGCTATGTTTCCCAAGGTTACAAGCAAAGGGGATATAGATTTATTGATACTTGTTAAGTTGTTAAAGGAAGAGATCCTCAAAAGTTGTTAAAAAAAGGTGGAGAGAGAAGATGAGAATAAGAGAATGTTAAGTTACTTATAAGTTATAACGTACCTTTACATCATTCGACCTTATCAAGAAAATAGTATGTTTTTTTAATTGAAATATGAAATATATAAGAGGAGAGATAGAAAATGTAAAAAAAAAGAATGTGATTTGTGTCATTGGATTGATGCTAGAGTCTTCTTATTGGTTTTGTGCTCTTATACTACTAGACTATTTCATTATTTTGATAATGTTTATATATCTTTTGTCCAACTTTTCACCCCTAGCCCCCATTTTATCTTGAATTTAAAGTTTGAATTTTTCCGTAAGCCTTACAGGGTCTTTTGTATTCTTATAGATATGTAGAGCCTATTCTCTTTAGCTTAACTTCGGCTAAGTTAATTTCTAATTTCCTTCTCTTATATATAAATAATTTAGTTTAGCTCAGTTTAGTTTAGTTCAGTTCAACTCAGTTCAATTTAGTAAATCAGAACAGACTTGTAGTTCAAAAGTTGTTCTCTTTTATTTGTTAAATGAAAACACTAACGGAAAAGGTTACAAGTAGTGTACATCAAGTAAAATATGAATTTGTTGTCTAATTTGTGTAGAAAATGAACTATAAAGTAAAATATGCAATAGAAATGACATTATTGTCTAATTTATATAATTACCTAAAATCTAACTTACATTCGGGTGTATATAAAATAAGGTAGTCATGCATTATCTGGATCTTAATTACATGGATAGGCTAGAGATTTTACCAAATTGATAAAAAGAGTGTATATATAATAGGTAAACTTTTCTAGTCATTTTTAAAATTTTGGAAGGAGGAATAAAAAAGGGGAAAAAAAAGAGCAGACTTTTTTATCTTATGAACTCATAATTAGGTGGCAAGTCAAGCTCCCTTCTGCCTTTGCACTCGAGGGCCAATCTCCGTCCGGCCCGAGGAAACCTTTGCACGCCTCCGTTACCTTTTGGGAGGCCTACGCCCCATAGAAACTGTCTACCTGAGACTGTCCCTTGGCCCGTAGGTACTGACACAAGGTTAGAATTCTAGCTTTTCCAGAGTGGTATCTCACTGATGGCTCGGGCCCCCCCGGAAGGGGGCCTTCTTCGCCTTCCACCTAAGCTGCGCAGGAAAGGCCCAAAGCCAATCCCAGGGAACAGTAAAGCTTCATAGGGTCTTTCTGTTGCATGGTCAAATGGATCAATCAATCTAATAATAATATCCTCAACTATACGTCTCTACTTGTGTTTGCAAAAATGCAATTGAATGATCAAATGAATTTCATTTCATGTAATAAACTTGTACTTTCACTTTTTTTTTTTTTTTTATTTAACTTGTACTTTCACTTACAATATACGAACGTTGTTCAAAAGCCGAGAGAAAAGGAGGCGGCTAATGTAGAACACTTGATTACAAAGTTAATTTCTTTATCAATCTTTGACTTGCTTAAGCAAGTATTAGCAGTAATCTTAATTAATTAGCTGAAGCAACAACATTAGACGATCAACTAAATTACATTAATAGTGAATAAGGGCCTGTTCACTTCAGCTTAATTTCAGTTCAATTCAGCTCCAATCAGTTTAGTTCAGATCCTAATTTCCTTCTCTCATAAAATATTTATTTCAGCTCTATTCAATCCAATTCAGCTCCAATCAGTTCAGTTCAGCTCAGTTAATATGAACATACCCTAATTAGTTTGGATTCACAATGATTACCAAATAAATGAATCAATAAGGAAAGTTGTGATGCTACTACAGTTATCAACCAGATTACCACATAACAATGTCCTCAGGTATTTCTTTAATTGTTTGTTTTTCATATGTCAAATAAAACGTCCTAAAGGTTTCCAACAAACCACTAGTCTCTTAGGAATTAAATAATTAAGATTAACTAATCATGTAAATAATATGATACCATTTAATGGAGAAAGAAACAATGTAGTTAGCAAACTGATTTTCTTTTGTCAACCGAGTATGTGTTTGAGATATCCTGTCATAAGAATCAGTGGACTAAATGCTTTTATTTTCAAAAATTCAAGTATTAAATTATACTTTTATATAAATACGTTAAAATGAATCTTGCTAACGAGCAATCCTGGGTGTTAGAAATGGTTCAATATATGAGGTGTTGATAAAATGTACCGATTAATTTCAGAGGGAAGGTGATTAATTAAAAATTTATCAAAGTAATACCCTTGAATACCCCCCTAAAGTAAAGGTTTTAACACTGAAATTTAGATTGAGGGAGTACGCCATAATATAACTATATAAGCAACCAAGAAAAAAGGCTCATAGTACAAGTTAAAGTTCTCAAAGAGGATAAAGTGATGCTGTACCTGCAAATCAGGTACAAATACATTTATTCCATATGAGATATGACTCAGATCAAAATAGTTCCAAGCTTAGCGTGAGGATAGTAATACCATCATATAGATGCTTCAATTCTACAATTGATCATGCCATGTCATTAAAGGCGCATTCCATTAGACTCTCTGTACTTTTATAAACTAACCATTCGAAATTGCAGAAATATGCAGTTTCCAGAACTTCACAAAAGCACTTGAGCTAAGGATCGCTGGATCGGGCATGATCTGTGCTGATTTCCACAATTAATTATTTTTCTTCCTGCCTCTTCCGCTCATTTTGCCTCCGATCTCCATGCTCCATATTGATCCTGAATGTTCTAACCTTGCTACTGCCTGGCTACTTATCCTCTTTCATGTTCAAGTACTTTACCTCACACTCATCACCATTCACCAAGAAGTATATGCATGTGCACAAAAAAAATCATGTGTGTATCATGAAAGACAATTGACACTATACTTCCAGCGTTTACAGTTCTGATGTTCCTTTCAAAGTTAAAGCAGTCCAATAACCTATTTGATCATGCTTGCATCCAGATTTCCAGACAGCTGAAATAGGAAGTGTTACTACATAAAAGCAATAGTCCACAACTATGTAGTATTAGAGATGATGAATGGTTCGATCTGCATTTTGGGGAGATTGCCAAACTGATACTGTCTTCAAGTAGTCCAACCACATTTAAATTCTGCTTGTAGTGAGGCTCATAACAATGAAATTAGTCTGCATGAAACTGATATGAAGACTGGTGCAAAAATCATGCATGCTTGAAGAGTTTCATGCTGAGCCAATGGAAGTAGACAGCAACCACAAGGATTGGAAGCGACAATGGGACCAAGAAGCAATAATATCTGTAAAGAAAAGCCAAAAGAATCAGCAATCCAATATTAACAGCACAAACATTATGGAAGACTAAAAAACAAGAGTAAGCATAAAGTAATGAAACAAAAGAAGCATCTAGGCAGCGAATGCATTGTATTCAGTACACCCCTTAGGTACAGAGTGAGGTATTTGGTGAACCATATGAAATAAAAATTGCATCACAGAGATAAAAGGTGAACCAAAACTGTAAAGAACACTTCTCAGCTACTTGCACCTCGCAATGCCTTTAATTATCTGGATCATGAGACCAGCCACAATTCCATACTGACTTGACATGAAATTTACTCCCAATAAAAGGATGAATTACTCCATTCATCTCAATAAAAATCACTTCTCACACTATCTTTAGCCAAATGCATTTTTGTCCAGTTAATATAGATTGCTATTCAAACCAAAAGGCTAAAATATACGAGGAATATCTATATATTTCAAATCCATGAACGTAGAGATCTTGCAGGAGATGTGTAACAGAAATTACTTTGTTGATCACATTTGACCCAACCCCCCATCTTACTCTTATAAAAATGGACCATTATCCTCTTTATTAGCATAGCTAGATGAATCAAAGCATGTATAAAAAAATAAAAAATTACCAACCACCAACTCGGGCTTCTTAATAAATGAATGTACCCCCCCCCCCCACCCCCCCCCCCCCCTCCTAATAACCGAGGCCTCTATGATATACAGGGTAACAATGAAGGGACACAAAGAAACTGCCAAAATCACACTTCAATAATAAATTAATCCTCAAGCAGAAGAACCACGAGCAATAATTCAATAGAACTGCTTTCACAGCAGCCGCTTGTATGTAATTAGGGAGAAACCCCTGAAGAAGTAGCCTACTAGCCTTCACCCCCTCCAGCATTTATATTTTCTTATGACCAATAGTGGAAGAATTCCTACTTTCAAGACAACTAAACAAAACACCCTCCTTTTGGTTCATTTATCCTCACTTCAAACAGTACCTCCATGATATTGATGTAACTCAAAATCATCACTTTTGTAACATGAATGACATCTGATTCAAGCAAAGTCGTATTAGATCCTTAATCAATTAATGCAATGTGGTAAAAACCATTGCTAGAACCTACCTCCCCTCTTTGTATCTTCAGTCCACCTACATTTTCGTTTATACATTACGCATTTGTACCTAGCCAATTCAGCCTAAACTAAGATCCCAACTATCAAATTGAATAGTATCAGTTTAAGTACTGCAGAAAACATTGGATATATAGTTCTAATTTAGGAAATTCATAATCATTCTAGATAGATACATTAGTACATAATTTTTTTATTTTTTTTTTTAAAGATTTTTACTACTTAACCACTATATCAAAATACCAATCATGTGCTTTATCAACCAACTTTCCACATTCTAATACCAAAAATCTTCAACGCTTATAAAACATGATTCACAATTTGTGCATAACCCATTATTCAAATTAATCTTCCAACAGTCCCCTTATTCTTGTAATCATATAATTCATAAAATTAAATATATAGTTGAATAAGGTTCAACTTAAACAACATGTAATACACTGAAAACAATCCTAAAATACAAAATGTATAATCATATGCAAATAAATTTAAATAAAAAAAAATATTGTAGAAAATAACCTGTCTCTCTGTATAGCAAATATTAAGGGGTTTTGTGATGGCGGCATGAGCTTGGAAATGACAGCACAATAAAGAAAACCCAGAAACGAAATCACGCCAAATGTAAGAAAAAAAGAGCCCCAAATCAACTGAAAATTTGTTAAATTTTTCATAAATCTTAAATCTTTGATTTGATTCTTCATTGATGTGTTCTCCTGAATTAGTATTAAAGATCAAATTGATGGTTTAAGGGATTAATTTCTAATATAGTTGATCAACATTGAATTTTAGGGTTTATTTGGGGATTTATCATGGATAGTTTTTTTTGGTGGTGAAATGGGATTCATAATTTTTTTTAGTGAAATTATCAATATACCCTTGTCGTTTTGACTTTTATTAATGATACCCTTGTCGTTTTGACTTTTATTATCAGCGGTACCTCTATAATTTTACCTTAATTGTTACAATAATCATGACGTTAAACAAACGTTAAGTTTGGCCATTTAACAGGTTTAATGGGGTGGGGAATGTGAAAATACTTAAATGCCCCTATCATTTAATCTCCCTCCAAAAATCTCAAAAGTTTTCCCTCCTTTTATTTCTTTACTAGGTTAAATCTCTTGCCATGCACGATCATAATTAAACTTTACGACAAAATTTATAAAGAATGGTGTTAATTCAACAAATTTATCCAAAAAAAAATATTTGTAACAAAATAATAGTCTCTAATTGAAGATATTGATGGTCAAAGTTGTGTCGCAACAAATGTGCAAATTCAACCATAACTCATAAAAAAACGGAGGAGCATAATATAATAAAATGATTTTGTTCAGTTGTTCTTATAAACGTTATGTATATTTGTAAGATTTATACAAAGTATCATACCAAAATTATTATTCCTATTTTTAATTAAAATAAATTTTAAGTCGGAGGAAAAAAAAATTATAATAATATTATGATAATCTTGGATGATGATATATGTCAATACCTTAATTTTAAACTGTGTTAGTATAGTTGTAACTAAAAGATTTATAGTATATAAAATATATGTTAAAAAATAATAAAAAAAAAAATTAAAATTGAGTATGATTGGATTAAATGTGTTGTCAAAATGGAAATAAGTATTATGGTAGGTTATAAAATGGAAGTTATTAAAATTTGACAAAAAAAAAAAAAAAAAAAAAGGAAAGATAAAAAGGTGGGAAATTTTTTTATAACATCGTGACAAGTGTCACTTTAGGTTCGCTTTTAGTATAGGTTAATTGATTTCCCTCTTTCCTATATAACCTTCACCCCTCTTTTTGTTTTCATCCCTTTCTGATTTTTTATTTCTATTTTAATATATGAAAAGATTAAAAATTTAGCAAGCTAACATGATCATATGTATTTAGCATAATTCAGAGCTAAATCCAATAGCATTTGTAAATTGTACACAAAATCAAACAAATTCCACAAAGGTGCATACATTACCTTAAACCTAACAATTTAAACCAAAATTCTCAAAATTCACTAGAGAAGTAAGCACTAACCTTTAGAATTGCAAAGAACCGCTAAATCTTCAAGGATCTTGCTTCACTCTAGCCTTAGTTAGGGTTCCTCAGAAGAAGAAGAAGAACAGGGGAGCAACTTCAAAGAAGACGAACGATCAAATTTGAAGTATTAAATGGTGTTGGTTGGGCTTGGGGGGTGTTAATGAGTGGGGGGCATTTTTGTCAATCCAAGTCAACACATTAAATCTATCAAATGACCAAACTTAACGTTTGTTTAACGTCATGATTACTGCAGCAATTAAGGTAAAATTATAGGGGTATCATTGATAATGAAAGTTTAATGAAGGGTATCATTGATAAAAGTCAAAACTACGAGGGTATCATTGATAATTTCCCTTATTTTTATTTATTTTTTAAATTTATTATTATTATTATTATTATTATTATTATTATTATTAACCATTTTAAAAAAATTGTCAATGTGTATCATTATAACATAGTAAAAAATTTAATTACGTATGAGTTAATGTGAGGAAAAAAAATGTCAACTTAAAAAACACAGAAAACATTAAGAGCAACATGAATTGAATGAAGCAAAAGTTTTGATTTTGGTTGTCTAAAATCAAGTATTTGATAGGGCAATTTTCCATTTTGCGTTCGAAGATGCTCTCATTACCACAACCTTACAATTACTTGTACTTGTTAGGGAATGTGATGAACCGAGCTTCATCAATTCTGGGATTCCATAAACACAAATCACTAGTACACGTGTTGATACCACGCACGATAAATGCAAACTATGCCGTTACATGATCCAACGAAATTATTGGAATTGTACATGTTGAACTTGAAATATTTTGATGATATTGGTACCAATTTTAAATTTTATTTTGTGTATAATTTGATCCTTAGATCAAGATGCAAGATCATATCGCTTTTTTGAAAAACTTGATTGGATTTTGGTGAATTTAGAGTTTATGATTATATTTCTAATTTTTGCATACTGATTTGAATTTCAAAAGGGATTTCACAGGTAACCGTAATAGTCTTTCAAAGTGATATTATCAATTTATCATAGTGCATTATAGCCTTATAGGAGTAACATGTAAATTTAAAATGTACATATACTACCTCCATTAATTGTTTTGTGCAACTTTGAAGAGGTTCACGGTTGCCAATGCAATAAATGGAGGGCATTGATTAAGAGAGAGTAACATGCAATTAATTAAAGGTAGAGGAGAGAGAGAGAGAGAATGGTCCCCCCATGTGCTTTGGTGGGGAAATCATATTTCTTTGGTAGGAAATATGATTCCTTTCCATTTTTTCACCAAAATTTCAAACAATTTGAATTTTAAGGTAGGATTAAAATTCCCTCCACCTTTTTTTTTAAAAAAAAAAGCATGCATTCAATTTTTGTCCACCATTTAAACAACCACCATACCTCATTTATGAGGTTTATAAAAGAAAGCCCCCATTGTCAAAAAGCTTTGAAAGTTCAAAGCATTAATTACACCAACCAAATGTTTAACCAAATCCATGAAATGTTTACCCCAAAAGTTAGCACCTAATTCCTGAAATTAGTCCATAATAACCCAAAAAATTACAACCTAGATTACATTAGTGCTGCACAAGGATATCCACCATCTTCAAGACTGCTTTGGTTCGTTTTTTATGTACACAAAAGAGTAGGGCAACTTCATCTTCACAAAAACCTTCATCTGCCACCCCTACAGCATCATCGACAACCTGAAAAAAAAAAGGGACCCCACAATGGCAGATTTCGATGAATCTCAGTACTATGATGTTGATGAATTACAGACAGAGGAACACATGGCAGAATTGTACTTTGAAGAGGAAGAACAAATTCAAGACCAAGACACAGAATACTATGACTCTGAAAATGAAAACATGCAGCAAGAAGAAGGGTCTGAAGAAGGGACACTAGAAACGGTTGGGGCAGGTAATGAAGAGACCATCCATCAAGAAACAGAACATGCAACAAACACAATCAACAGAAAACAGCTTACCATGTACCAGAGAAGAGAGATTATTGATGCAATGTTGATGAAGATGCAAGATGGTGCTTTGCCAAGAGGATACAAAATGCAACTTTCAACACAATTCAGAGTGCACAAATCAACAATAACCAGAATATTCACAGACATAAAAAAACAGATGGCTGAAGGCAATATGATTAATGTCAGGACTAAGAAGTATGGCAGTATAGGTCCAAAGCCAAGGGAATTTACAGATGAATTCCTACAATCAGTCCCTCTTTATTTAAGGCAGACAGAAAGGTCATATGCAGCAGCACTCAAAATTTCTCATGTCACTTTGCACTATTTGAAGAAAAAGGGAAGGCTAAGAAGTAAGAACACACACAGCAAGAATTGCAAACCAGCACTGACAGCAGATCACTAGATAAGTAGAATGAAGTGGGTTCTAAGTCATATAAACCCAGTTGAAGGAAATCAGGACCCCACTTTTGAAGACATGAGTTATGCAATTCACATAGATGAGAAATGGTTCTACTTGAACCTTGACAAAAGGAGATTTTATCTTCTTTCAAGTGAAGAAGATCCATACATGGCACAACAGTCAAGAAGATTCAAGTGAAAGGCTATGTTCATGGCAATTATTGGAAAGCCATTATATGGCATTAATGGGGAACTACTCCATGATGGAAAGTATGGGATTTTCCCATTCACAGTCAAAGGCAGAGCAAAGAAATCAAGCAAGAATAAAGCAGCAGACACAATGGTTACAAGGGAACTCCAGAATGTGAACAGGGAGGTCATCAGAGATATGTTGCTTAACAAAGTAATTCCAGCAATTATGGATAAATGGCCCTGAAAGTCTGCCTAAGAATGTTGTCATCCAATGGGACAATGCAAGGCCACATCAAATACCAAGAGATGAAGAGTTTGTTACAGCAACAACAGCCAATGGATTTAATATTCAATTTGTGTTCCAACCAGCTCAATCTTCTGATCTAAATGTGTTGGATTTAGGTCTGTTTAGGTCTATCCAGTCCCCTACAATATCAATCTTTCCCTAAAAATCTTGATGATCTAGTTGAAAAGGTGATTGACTCTTACAATACATTCAAACCAGAAGTCAATAAGTACATATGGGTCACTCTACAGAGATGCATGATCAAAATACTCAAGGCACAAGGGGGAATAGGTAAAAAATTCCACACATGAACAAGAAAAAACTTGAAAATCTAGGTGTTCATCCAGATCAAGTGCATGTTCAGAAGGACATAGTGCTAGAGGCTGTAGAGTACTTGAACACAATGTTCAGGCTAGCACCAGAAGGGACTCAAGAAGCAGCAGAGGACATGGAGGTGGATGCAAATTAGACCAGAGTACACAGCAAGTTAGGACATCAGCATATACTGCCACACATAACCATCTATAGTGTGTTTTTTATTTTTTTAATTTTATTTATTTATTTATTTTTTAAATATTTTGAAATGGTAATGAATAGGTGGTTAGATGTATTTTGTGTTTTAGGTTGTCATATCCCAGTAAGGCAGTGATGTGTAAGTTCTAGTGCTCATGTAATAGACTTTTTGTAGCCACATTTTGATTGGAATGAACAAGGAATTATGGTGAAATCAAAATAACCCATTAGAGGAATAATAGTGTGTTGAATACAACAACTCAAACAAGTTTACCTCAGCAACAATCACTTCATTGTGATTGATGGAGCAACATACTTGTTCAAATTATAATTCATTGGAGTCCCTTCATCATATAGATTACATAATAACATGATACTCAGAAAAAAAAGGGACTCTCTACTAAAAACTACACAGGCAACAATCAAGGACTCACATTAAGTGCTTCTACAATAAGGAATTCACAGTGTTCTCTAGGAAGAAAATCATTGAGAACATTATATGCAACACACAAGCCAAAATAGCCTCATCATTCACCAATCATATTCCCTTAAATGCCATAACTAATTCAAACACAATAATCCAATAACAACCACAATATAGGCCATTAACACACAACATAACCCAACATTCTATCCATAATCCATTAAACCACAATAATCAATCAACCAACAAAACCACAAACAGAATCAAGCCAAAAATACACCAGATCCAACAGATTATCCACCATCCAAAAGAATCATATTCCATACTCCAACAACAATAATCAATCAACCAACAAAACCCACAAACAGAATCATTCAACAACCAAAATGAAGCATTAAATAGGGACTTATCAACCAACAAATAACTAGCACACAATCAAGAGGGACTCAAATAATTAAAGGAATAAGTTAGGGTTAGGAATCGTTACGAGAGCAGTCACTTAGAGGGTTGAACACTAGGGTTCATCCGCCTCACATAGCACTTCACAACAGGGACAAAACAAGAGGTTGCTTCTGGTTTCTTGGAGGGTGGTTCCTCATCAGATGAAAGCACGATGAACTCGTGGTCCGGAAGCCCATGCATCCTTCTCAAAGCAACACGCGCCGCCTTCCTCGAAGAACGAACCTTGGGTGGTGGCCTTTCCCTCTTAAATTTGGGCTTAGTTGGAGCCACAACAGTCCCCTCGCCACTCTCAGCAACCAGATCTACAGGAGCCTCGGAGAAATTGAGTGACTTCCTACGGGACTCACCCTGACCTTCCTCCCTTTTCTGTCTTTCTTCCTTCTCCACACTTTTAAGGACTTGACCCAGAGCTCTGTAAGTATACAAGGTACAGTAGGGACCCGTTTTGCTGGACTCATAAAATTGACGAGGGAAGGGAGAACGAGTTCAAAGCAGTGGATGAGATTCTGGATCAGATTCTCCTCTCCTTTGTCGTTGGTAGCCATGTAAACATCCTTCAAAGGATCCAAGTTAACCAGTGTTGGGAGAGGACTTTTTTTTTTTAGAAAGATCGAAGGAGAGAAGATTAGATCTGGAGAAAGGAAGTGGGAAATCGCAGAAGAAGAGGAGAGAGAAAACCCCAGATGATGAACTAGGGTTCATTTGGAGAAAACTCCAGAAGAAATAGAGGAGCCCAACCATCGAAATTAATTTTTGGTGGTTGGGGATGTGAGTAAATGAAGAGAGTTGGGGGGGATTGGGGTAATAAATGGAGAGAGTCATTAGATTTAGGTAATGTAATTAAATTAGGTTAATGTAATTAGATTAGAATAAGGGCAAAGATTAAAAAAAAAAGGGTTTAGTAATAAGGGTAAATTCGTAATTTTAGGCTTTTTTATTAGCTAAAAATAGAATGAAATCAGAAAGTTGCACTTAACACAAAGCATCCCGAAATGGCAAAAGTAGCACAAAACAATTAACGGAGGTAGTATTTTTTTTTATTGAAAATAAATAAAGGTAATCTATAAAACAAATCATTATTTGGTAGTTTGGTACCCTAAATTCCTAATAGAAGGAACTATGAAAGTAATACCTTAAATAAATGTATGCATTGTCAGCGGCATTGGCGCGACCAAACTGAGCTGACCCCAAATACCATCTATAGGGGTGTAAATGAGCCGATACATTTATTCGCGAACAAGTTCGGTCAAAGCTTGTTTATTAAGCTAACAAATGAGTTTGAACAAAAATCTTAAACTCGTCAAATAGATGAACAATGCTCGAACAACATCATGTTCGACTCAATAATGTTCATGAACAACTCGTTTAAGTCCATTTATAAGTTTTTTCACGTCCAATTAAAATTCGTAAAATTTATATATCTTTTATTCATACATATTTGTAAAAATTACTAATTATTTCATCATGTAAAAGTATGAAAACTCCTTCATTATCTTTTTTTATAGAAAGAATATAAACATCTTATGTAAAATTAAATGGATGTGTTAAAATTTGAAAGAAACCATTTTTTTTAATGATAAATTAAGGCTCGTTTTTTTTTTTTTTTTTTTTTGACAAGAAATAGGATTTCATTGATAAAATAGAGCCAAATGGCACTACTTTACAATGCAAATAATTCTTAAGAAATCTTAACTCCCAACACAAAAATATATCACCATAAAGCAAAATATATTGTACATTCGATCAACAATAGCCTTTATAAAAAACTTCTTTCGAAGCAATACAATCTGTGAGTTAGCACTAATTCGGCTTAAGATCCACTGATGCATAGTCGTCGTATGGATGAAAAAAACCCGTGTGGTACTCTAGATACTTAGAGAAATTATGAAACCCTAAATCTTCATTCTTTGCCGGACGAATAATCACTAAAATTAATCTTCCAAGCAAACTGCAACTAACCATTTCAAATCTTCCATAAGAGAAGAAAAGAAAATCATACACCAAACTCCCACAAACGGAGAGAACAAACCCAAAAATTGGGAACAAAACTCTCATAATGAGAGAGAAAGGAGGATTATCGACAATTAAACAATTAAAAACTAAGGAAACATAGGAAAATTTGGGGCTTACCATCATCAAAGAGATGATGGCAGCCCCTTGCGGCTAGAGAGAAGATGAGGGGTTTTAGGGTTTTTTTTTTAGAGAAGATTAAGGCTCGTTTATTTAATCATGCCCGATTTAGACCCGTTCAAGCTCGAACTTAAAGTCGAAATGCAAACGAATACGTTCGTGAACAAAGGTCGAACAAGCCAAATTCTTAACAAGCCCAGCTCGAACAAGATTTTTGAAAGTTTATTCAAGCTCGAGATAGTTCGAACACGAATAGTTATTATCAAGCTTAGCTCGAAAAAACTAAAACTCGGCTCTGCCCGGATTGTTTGTAGCCCTAACCAGCCACAAAAGGCAATAAAATCAAATTAACAACACCACAATAACTTTTCAAAAGAAAAAAAAAAAGGTTAATGAAATTTCTGTATAATTCTTATATGTGACTAGTCACGTAGCCACTTTACATTTAACCTAATTGATTATAGGTGTTATACTAATGAGCAAATGAGGTTATATTTGACCTTCACGTATGTGGTTAATTCAATAAAAAAATAAAATAAAAAAATTATAAAAATAAAATAAAAAATAAAAAAAATCGGGTTATACTCATTAATAAGTGGAGTACTTGAACAAATGAGGTTACTTAATTTCTAAAGAAATAAAGATAAATCTTATCATATAACTAATATATAAAGCTAAACTTTTAACCAGGCGACGAAATAGCGACACTTGGCGTTCAAACTTTTCGCCAAGTGTTGCGCCACGTAGGATAGAGTTATATAGAATTCAATTTGTAAGATAAAAAAGTTAATTTGGATAGAATTTTAGAATTAAATTATTAATTTAGAGTTTTATTTTCGATAAAGTACCAATATTTCATATGTACAAATTAAATTATAATTTTATTAAAAAATAAATAAATTATAACACTCATAAATTATCATATAAATTTATTTTTTGTATCATAGTATTTTTTTGGAGCAAAGGAATTAGCTCAAAATGCACCACATCCATTATTTATAATATATTCTAATCAATTAAAACAACATACTTTACAATCTAATGTAATTTTATTACTGTGTGTAGACCTGTCAATCGGGTCGGGTCACGAGTCATTTCGAATAGGGTCATTATTTCAGGTTACGGGTCAAGAAATGTTTTTCACCAATGTTATTATTATTAGTCATTACATGCCTACTATATAGTTTAAATCATCACAAAAAACACATCAATTCCTAACTAATTTTGTATCAATAGTATGTTTTAAAATTTGACATATAGATTAAAAATTTATCTTAAAATTCAATAAACAACCAGAGCATCGCACGGGCACAAAACTAGTAAACTAATATGGTCATACAAGACTAATCATCTAATTAAAAATGTATATCACCTATCAATAGTTTTAATGAGTAACCATTATTGAAGATAATCGATTACAATTCTATCATTATGATTCCTATCATTATGATTCCCCTCTACAATTCTATGGATTAATCATTACGACATTATGATATCATTTGTTTATTTCAGTTTTGTTTTTTTTTTTTTTTTTTTTTTTTTTGATGTGTATCATTTCAAAATGATTATGGACCCATACATTTGTAACTTAATTATATTATTAATTTAAATACGCTAATATAATTATCCTATTCATTTCATAAAGGCTTACAATTTTTTAATTGGTCACACATCCATTAATTTCTCATTTATATATAATAATATATAAATAAGATAACTAAAAAATATATATCCAGACCACCTTTAAATCATACTTGTATAACCTCTATCATCTTATTATATACAACCTTATCAAAATAACATACATAGTCATCAATTCACGTACCACATTATTATAAATAGCATGAAAATGTATTCATTTTTCATATCATCTCATTAAAACCTTTTACATTTTAAGAGAAAATAAAAATGAAAACTCTTTGTGTTTTTCTTATTATTGCTTCATGCATACTAGGATTTTCTAATGCAAGACCATTAGAAAACAATAACAATGATGTCAAACCACAAGATGCCTTTGGATTTTATGATAACCCGTTTGTACCCGGAGTGATAAAGGGTCTCCTTAAACCCGTTATCCCTTACGTTCCAAACCCGCCTAATGATCCATTTTTTCCTCCTGACCCGAAGAATGACCCACCACCAAGTTCATTTCCCGGGCTTCCTCAACCATTTGTCCCTGGACCCCCTGCCCCGAAACCTCCATCTACCTCCGCCAAGGGTGGCAATTCGCCATGAAACAGAAGATTTAGCACTTGGTCGTCTAGGAAGAAGTTTGCTATTATGATTTATTTTAGGTGATTAGCATATTATTACTAGGAAATATGTTAGAAGGAATAATATGTTTTGATTTTCTAGATTAGGTTATCATGGAGTTTTTATATACTACGTATTAGTATTCATATATTTAATGAATGTTAGTTTCTATCTATTTAGTTTTGGAGAAATAATAAGCAGTTGAATTTCCTATTATTATTTACTCTATAATCAATGATTTGTATTCAATTTTGCTATTTTATATGATTTGGTTCATTTCAGCTCCATTCATTCATTCAATAACTCTGCAACAGTTTGCCTATTTTTTTTTAAATTGCCAATGATAACAAAGCTGACACAGATTGCTATTTTAATAATTTTACTAATTCACGAGCCTTATCATAATAATTCCTGTAATAGATGCATGCATGAAAAATTAACAAAAGAATACAAAATGAATACGAAAAATTAACAAAAGAATAAATAAATGAATACAAAAAATTAACAAAAGAATACATAAATGAATATAATTTATTTGGTAAGTATGCTTTTTTTACTTCAGATGAAAATGAAAATTATGAATTAAGAAATATAATATCACCAAAAAAAAAAAAAAAAAAAAAAAATGTAGAATACTCCTTCATAACACACATTGATGTTAGTCATAACTTTTATCTTCAACATCTATGATATTACTCTACTTGATGATGTCTTCAACATCTCCTAATCTTCCAATGAAAATATTGATGTATGAAATCACACACTGACAAACAAAACATGCATGCTTAAAGAAATTTGTATTCGAGACTATTTTAACACATTTGCTCAGTATATACCCTACACAGAAGCACTGCTGACTTTGTCCTCAATTCCAGACTTTCAATGTTATGTTGTGGCTTGTCCAGCATAGTCTTGGATTCCAAGAAGTGTCACTTATGCTTCTGCCTAGCTCGTGTACATTCTGCCTCACACTGAGCTATCTGCACTTCTCTGCGGATAACTGCTTAACACACCCAACTGCCTTGGATTTGTTAATCGGACTTGGTTCCCAACTAGTGAAATTACTAATTGGCATCTGCAGTTGCATACACCTTTGATTATAGCTTGACTGATGTTAGCAACTTAGCCATACCGCACCAGGAATTGTGTGTGTGTTTTTCTCCTAAAGCTGATCATGTATCAGTAAATTTACAAAATTGCAAGTGTAGTGAAAAACTACAGCAGTACACAGAGAACAGCGTAAATTGAATCTAAAAGAAGTTAACAGCCCTAGGAAGAAGCTAAATTCTGTTTCTTTCAGCAACAAGTAAAACAAGAGTAATTCTTTGTTCTTGCTGCTCTAAAAGAAAAACACAAAAACCTATGACAACGCTGCTATGACTGAAAATTGCAGCCTAACAGGGATCCAACGTCGACAATCGGAGTCTATATGCTCAGTTTTTACCTGCAAAGGAAGAAAAAAAAAATCATAATTAAGCATCTAAAGCTGATAAAAATCATTAGAGAAATGCATCAGAAATCAAAATGAGATAGTAAGGGCCTTTTCTGATTTACTGATTTACTGAATTGAGCAAAACTGAACTGAATAGAGCTAAAATGAATTGTTTATGAAAGAAGGAAATTAGGAGCTGAACTAAACTGAGCTGAAATTAAGCCGAAGAGAACAGGCCCTAAGTGCAAAAGAGGGTGGGGAAGTTCCCAAATTTCTGAACAAGGGCAACAGCCCTATGACAGGTAATGCAAGAGTAAGGGATATATAAGAGGTAAAATGAGCAATTTGAGTCTCGCCAAAATTTGCTATTGGGTTAGGAATCCAATAAAATGGCACTTTGCTAACCAAAAATTTTCACAGCTATCAAGTCAATTTGAGATGCAATACAAGAGGCACATCTACTTTCTTATTGTACGTGCAACAACTGCACTTGCAATCTTACTAAGAAATCCATCAGAGATTAGGGAAAAAAAAAATGGTATACTCAGGAAGCAGAATTTTCTTAAGAGTAACAGAGGTCTCTGTGCTATTTGTTCAAAAAGGGAGACAAGGAAATTTCTCAGGCATTGAATCAGATGGAGTCAATGGCTTTTGTTACATACAAAAGGAGATACAATGAACATTCAGCTAGCTAAGACACAATCCTTCTAATCAATCATCAAAAACCAGCTTACAGCAATATGTTAGTGTTTGGCCAAGCTATTTCTGAGCGTGAAAAACTGAAATTTGGCCAAACAAGGGGTCTTACAAAAATAGAAACGCTCAATGAGAAAGTGGATCAGATTTAGTAGGCCAAATGACTCAAAAATAAATTCTAGAGGGTGTAGAAGGAGAAGCTTGGAGCTTCTAGGAACTTAAATACTCAATTAATGAATTTTTTTATCAGACCATCATCATACCCTTCAATTATTAGAAAATACCCACATGCCCCATCTAAAAGAAATATATAATAACACTCTCCTCCCCTTTTCTCTCAATGCTATAGCTGATACTCTCTTCTAAGTCTATGAGTCTTCCTGCTTTCCTAATTCCCTGTCCATTCAGCCCCACATCCTCCATCAATAAATTATCATTTAAAAAAAATAAAAAAAATAAAAAATAAAAAAAAAAAAAAAATAAAAAATTGGGGAAAAAATTATAAGATAAAGGAAACTTAATGAATAACTAGGTGTTTCTGGAGAACTACTGATTAGAAACATAATTCTAAGATACATAAAGTGGTATTCAGAAGCTTGGCCAAATAGACTGTAATAATAGTGCTCTCAAGCAAGTAGGTTGGCTCAAAAGGTTTAATTGACCAGGCTCCAACTATACCGCACACATTCTGAAGTTTCAATGCTTTAAGATACATGGATATCCAGGTTTCAAAGATTTCATGGACAATAGAGTAGCTGCTATGTCCTACAATGAAGTAGATACTAGTAACACCATACCATTGCAAATGGAACACTGCAACAATTTATATGGCAGTACAATCTAGGATTTTTTTTATTTGTTAAACTAGAATAAATTGGTATGAAATCTCATACACGAGGTATAAATTCTACATCCCATGATAGTTTAAAGTTGTTTGATTTGTAATAGTTGAAATGGTATCTACATTTCATTAATGAAATGGTTTGTGAATCTTAGGGGTATGGGATTCAGAGAGAGAAGGGGGGGGGGGGGGTAGGGGGGGTAGAGTTAAAACCTTGCTGGTATGTAGTTCCATTGGTAAAAAGCCTAACCAAACAATAAAATGATTGTGGGTAAATTTTCCCTCCTATCTTGCACTAAATTCTAAATGGTTACTAGATAAGTAGATAGTGCATCAATTTATTGAAATCAAACTTGTTGCTAATACTAAGAAAAACATTACCATACATGATGGGAGTAAAATTTCAGTCAAGTAGTTGGGATAAATGACGGAATAACTTTGAATAACGTGCTTCATAAGATATGAGGTGTGAACTGCACTTTACTCACTAGAAAAGCTTTGTATATTCTCATAAAGGGAAGTTCAATTCCTCTTGGTTATTCGAAAGTTGGTCTTGATAATGTGGCTGTACTAAAGATGAGTAGTTATGTATTTGATTGAAGGCATGAATGTAATAAAGTTTGTCTAGCCGTAGTAGAAGAAGCAAGATTGTGGCATCTTAGATTTTTCCTATTTGTGAAATAAGGTCATGTCTAAAGAGCACAATTTGTCCTACAACAACAAACAAACTATACTTCTTTTCACTTAGTAGCATCAAAACAAAAACTCATTTTAAACTGATTCATATGGATGTTTATGGTCCTGATCCTGTAAAGACTCCTATTGGTTGTAATTAATTTTGACAATATTGGATGATTTTAGTACATTCACTTAGGGTCTGTTCTCTTCAGATTATTTTCAGTTCAATTCAGTTCAGTTCATAATTTCCTTCTCACATAAAATATTCAGTTCAGTTCAGTTCTTAATTTCCTTCTCACATAAAATATTCAGCTAGTTCAATCAGAACAAACCCTTAGATACAATTGTTGAGAAATAGAAGTGAAGTTGTTGCAATTATGGTTGGAATTTTAAATAATGGTTCATACACAAATTTATCAAAGTCTAGTTTGTTAGGTCTAAAAAAGCTAGGACATTATGTGAAGGAGGTATGAAAATGTGATAGAAACACCTATCAAGGTCTATACACGAAGAAGGAAAGTCCACCAAGGTCAAGAGGGAACAGCAGCAGGGAATACTCCTCTACCTCAAGATAATTCTAATTGAGTAGAGGATAAATCTCAGTAAGAATGAAGAAAGGAAAGAAGACCAACTAGTTTCTCTGTGCTTGTTTATGTTTTTCTAGTTTAGTCTATTATCACATGTTAGGCTCTAAGGTCATTTTGACCATGTTAGTATATGTAGTAGTTCTTGCATTTTGGAAAGGCATCCAGAAATTTGAGAGTAAACACAAGAGAGAGTGGTGGCCTAAAGCTACTTAGAGAGTCATAACCTCAAGTTATGTTTATCCCTTGTATTTCCGATTGTGTCAATTGAATATCATCAAGCTTTCAGCCCTTCTTACTTCTTGTGAGAGTTAATTAGTGATAGCCGAACCACTCAGTCCATAACAGAAAAAGCTGTATTTGAAACACGTGATTTCATATCATTTAAGTTTTAGTGATACGCCTTAGCAAAATGGAGTTGTTAAGAGGAAGCATAAACATCTTTGCACGGGTTATGTATATAGACCCTAGAGTTGTAGGGGGCTTGGGTCTTGGGGTAATTGAAATTTATGAGCTAGCTTATCTTATTAATCAACAACCTTTAAGATCTTTTAAAGTTTTAATCATAATACGCATTTTGTCAAATTACACATATTCAATCCCAACCTTTCTTCAAAAAAAATTTGGTTGTTTTTGTTATGTCACGGCTTGATGAAAGAGCCAAAACTTTAGTTTTTCTAGGTTACTCAATTATTAATAACAAGATGAGATGACAATTTAAAATATATTTTATTTCATGAAAAGCATTTCCCACATCATCTTTACCCCACACACACACACACACAAAAACTCAAAGTTAATATATTCTTTAAGCTGTTATATACAAGTAAAAAAATAAGGCAAAGCTAACATGTGAATAGTGCAAAAATTCAAAGTGTCACCTTAAAATCGGCGGGAGTAATTTTTATGTTAAGATAAATATAAACCCCCCCCCCCCTCGATCCCCATTTCTAAATGCTAGCAACACTTGCATTTGCACACAAAATTAAAAACATGTAGTACATGGAAAGAGATAATTTAATATGCAAGTGGGGCTTATAGGATATTTTAATACTTTGTAAGGAAGAGAAACACACACAAAAAAAAAAAAAAAAAAAAAAAAAAAAAAAAAAAAAAACTCAATTACCAGAGTTCAAACAATGAAAAAAATTAGTGTTGTGGGTTAAAGCGAAAGAAACATTAAAACAAGTGATCCCATGTTAAGAAAGGGAATGTTGTAAGTAATTAGAAATGGTTAAAAGAGACAACAGTTGTATTTAGAGGCCAAAAGAGAAAGAGTTGCAAGTATTTAAGAATGGAAAAATAATGGCCAAGTCATATACTGCATAAAAAGGGAAAACTAAAGTCACTTGATCGTGACGCATTGCATCTAATGAGTTGTATCACCGATATTTTCTGTATTTCATTGATTTGTAATGTAGATCGGGTTTTAGAGCAAGGTAAGCCAAAAACCTATGGAAGTGGCTGAAATTTAACACTAGCACTCCAAAACCTAGTTATTCAAACAATTAATCAAAGTTTATCTGTGACACCAAGATAACATGACCTTCAATGTGATTGCGACTATTATCGCATGTTCAAACCATTGTTAAGGGAAAAATAACACCAAAAGAGGAATGGTTTACTTTATGTTCTTCCTCTTCTGAAGCTTCAACAAGAAATTAGCTCAATTAATGGAAATATGAACAAGGTATGTTTCTTCTGATTTACATTCTAAAATAGTACTTCCTTCGTTTTTTTATTAGATGCATCACTTTATAAAAGGAAGTTTCAATTTAAATGTATCACTTTTTCCCTTTTAGTTAATAATTATCTCTCTCTCGCCTTTTACATGGGCTCTCTTTATTTTCTCTCTCTCTCACTACTCCAAAAATTGGACAAGAGTCCACAATTATAAAAATAATGCAATAAAAAAAAAGGTATTAAGTACTTCCAATGTTCTTTTTAACTTTATCTAGTATGATTTTTGTACTATTTAGTAGTCACACACTCATCTTTGACCATTTTGAGTGATTTACTGGAAAAAGGGGGGGGGGGGGGGGAGGAACATGGGATCTTGTTTTAAAACGTATCAAAAAAATCCTATCATATTAGCTTTTTATTAAAACTTTTACTTAATAAGAGTTAAAGATATTGATGGTCATGTAAGAGGAAGCATGTAACAGTAGTTTATTTATTTATTTATTATTTTTAGGCCACGTAATAAGAGTTAAGTAAAACATATTTTTATAGACCTAATGGTGCACCAATACAAAAAGCGGAAAAGTTGGATCATAGCCAGATTAAACGAAATAGAGGGAGACCAAAAATGACTTGGTTGGAAAAAGTTAGGAAGGATATGAAACATATGATTTTGAATGAAAATGAGGTATTTGATTGTAAGGGATGGAGGAGGAACTGAGGAAGATTATTGTGGATGACCATATTGAATAATCATATTTGATTCATGCAACCAACCCCACTTATGGAATTAAAGCTTTCATTGATTGATTGATATAATAGTACTTTATAAGAGAAATAAAAAGTGCAACAAAACTAAACTCTTACCATTTGGTTACAAACAAATAAAATACTATATTTTCTTTTATATGCAACACTTTTCATTACACGTTTTAGTGCGTTATTTAAATCATTAATATATATTTTATTAGTAATATGTAAAAAATATAAATACTTAATATTACTCTCTCCGTTTCAAAATGATCTTCTCACTAAAAATCTTTTGTGTGAATTAAGGTAAAGGAAAAATCTAGAAATAAAGTACATTTGGACCATTCACATACAATAAGACCATCCTTATTTTGGAATAAACTACTCCCTCCGTTCCCTAATGTATTTTACGTTTGGAATTATGCGCGGTTATTAAGAAATTGTGTAAAGTTAAGGTATATTGGAATATTTCAATTATTAAAAGTACAATTTTATTGAAAAATACAATGTTGAGCATGTGGGGTAAATAAATTAGAGGAGAGGAGAGAGAAAGTAATAATAAGTGTTGAAAAACTATTAAAATAGTACAAAAAGTACAATAGCACATGAAAAAGTAAGGACTTTTGAGAAAAAAAATTATAAAATAAGGGTAATTTTGTCCAAAATTTATGACTACAATAGGAAAGATACTAAATGTAAAGAATAAAAAGGAACACCCAAAATGGAAACGTAAAAAACATTTAGGAACGGAGGGAGTACCTTGTAAAACTTATTATTTTGGAATATAACACATTGGTTTGAATTGGGACCATTAAAATGAGGGTAATATGGGAAATTAATGAGGATAAGTGAATAACCAAAATAAAGAGTGGAAAGATCATCTTAAAACACACAATGGAAATTTGAGAAGATCATTTTGAACGGTGGGAGTAACAAAGTATAAAACTAATCGAATTTAACAAGATCCCACATGATTATATTTTTTCCTTGACTAATCACCAAAACTAGTCAAAGTGGAGTATTTGAATAGTGTAAAAGTCAAAGTTTTGCATTTTAAAAAAAAACAAAAGAAGTACTAAAATAGGCCAAATTGTCTTAATTTACCTATATCTTTCTTCAAATAAAATCATAATGTTACTATTTGCTTGTCCAATTCTCAAATTTCAATATCATTTTTTATTAACCAAATTAGCAAGAAGATTGATTGAAGATACCAAATTGGCTATAAAATCATAATGTCTTTTTTTTTTTTTTTTTTTTTATAAACTATATAGGCTAATTGGATGTTTCCTTATTTTGTACTCCAAACAACTTTGACCTACCTCATATACATATATTGTATTAACATACTTAACGTCCATAAAGAAAAGAGTAAAAAAAAAACTCCATTTGTCCCATTTTTCTTCCATTAATGGTAGCCCCAAATTACTATATTGAACTCTATTCCCTTATTAACATTAACACAACCACTAAAATAACTCCTTTTGTCCTTTTATTATAAGCCTATTTAGGTTTGTTCACTGAAATTAAGAAAATTGCATGTTGCTTAAAACTAATTATTGAGAGTACATATGTGCATGTCGGATTAGAAAGAGAATAAAAAAAAATTAAAAAAAATGGTTGGGAATTATTAAAGAGGGGAAAAAGAAAGTGTTGGAAATTGAAGCAAAAGTCATCATTCATTAAAAAAAAAAAAAAAAAAAACTCATCAAAAAGTGGGGAATATTATCATGAAGTATAACCTTTAGATAGAAGTAGACTCTTAATTTAGATTACACCACAATTGAGTAATAAACATAATACTGAATAGAAGTAGACTCTTAATAAACTCATCGAACGAAGGGAGTAATAAACATAATTAATACAAGTTTTCATAATTACTTTCTTGAAACATGTTATAATATTGAATAACCACTTTAGGTTCATGAAGTTGATCCCACTTATGAGATTAGGGCTTTGGTTGATTGATTAAAACATGTTATAACAACTATGATTTAAAAAGTTGTCTTATTAAACTTATTAATTTGATATTATAATTAAAACGAGGGTACATAGAGGTTCCATAGAGATTGTTTGCTTCGACACGACCATTTAGTAAGTATGGAGTACATACCAAATTCGGAGGACAATCCAATGTCGCAATCATAAAGAAATAAGCCTTAAGCATCATGATAGACATATACTGTGTACAACTAACTAGACAAGGACACAAACCAAACATGAAAAAAACTGGATAACGTCAAGTAGGGTAGTTTAAATAACGGTACCCAATCGGCCTCAGTTGTAAGTAAACCAACCCATGACTCGACTCGGTAAAACAAGGTACCCGTTTCTAGCCTTATTGAGTTGGGTCATAAGGTACTCGATTTAATTTGATTTTCTTAAAATTTATTTTTTAGCAAAAATCCTATCATCTTAATTGTGGACAAATAAATCTATTTTAATAAAGAGCTCTCCCAACCATGCTGTAATATGTTCACCATAACAAAGGTTGCAAAGTTGCATCCATCTTTAGTTCTTCATAAAGACATTTACCATTGATGAAATGAAAGCTGTTTTCAAGGGGGCTATGATGAAGGTGAGACGACATTAGGGGTGAGCAAAAATTCCGGGTTGAAATGGAAGTTGTTTTCAAGGGGGCTATGATGGAGGTGAAACGGCATTAGGGGTGAGCAAAAATTCCGAAACCCGAAATTGGGATCGCCGAACTGGAACCGGTTAGGAACTGCAGGTGCGGGTGATTCCAATTAGGTAATAAGTTAAGGACCTGTTTACAACCACTTCCAATTCCAATTCCAATTCTCAACTTTTCAAAACCGAAACCGGTTGGGTACCCGGTTACCCAATATATGCGAAACTAAATAAATTTTAAATAATAAAATTATGTTGAATGTATCTAGTTAGTAAATTAAAAAAAGTATTATTAATACATAATATAAATACGAATAGCTTAATACATATATATATATATATATATATATATATATATATATATATATATATATATATATATATATATATATATAATTTACATACATAAGTAGGTACTCGGAACCGGTACCTGGTGATTCTAATCCCAATTTCTAAATTTTAGGACTCGGTTGAACCAATTTCAATTTTGGTTCCGAATTCGAGGACCCAGTCCTAACCAATTTCGGATTCGATTCATAGAATTTTGACTGAGTACCCGATAAGGTATGGTGAAGAAATCAATGTGGGCGAGGAGAGAGAGAAAGATGGTGGTGGTAGTATTGCAGCGGTGGGAAGGTGGTGTGGCAGTCAAGGGAAGAGATTGGGGCGGTAAAGGTGATACTGGTTGTGGGTGAGGTATGGTTGTGATTTTCTCATGCTCTATTAGTGTTATGACGGTTATTATAAAACACTATAAAAACCTAGCTAAGGCCCAAAGAAACTAATAACTAAGCTGGCAATATTATTATTTTGTGGTTTTCGAGTACCCAACCTATGAAATTTTGGAAATGGAAAATACCCGATTAAAATAAACCAAGTCATCAGGTTGTTTTGAACACCCCTAGTGTCAAGGGTTAAACTAGTCAAAGACAACATGACATGACACTACACATTTAATTGTACAATACCACGAGAGTAATAAATAACCAATATGTTATTGAATTGATGACTTTTCTTTTGAACAAGGCAAAAAAAATTTTAATATAGCATAATAACACGACATGAACTAAACATGAAAAAGGTGGGTTTGGGCCAAGGATTACTACATTTGAATCAAGATTTGTTCTTTGATTTTTTTTTTTTAATTTCAAGCACGAGCACAAGAACAAAACAACGTATTGACCATCTCTCACTAAAACAGTAATGCTATAATAATTTTTTTTCCATATTTAAATTCAATTGTTCATCTTTCACACCCGTAATTTATCATAACACTTTATCTTTATATAATTATATATTGTCTTCAATTTTTATGTGATAGATTTTCTTATCTTTCTTTGTTTTTCCATTTCATTTCATTATTTTTTTTTTTTTGGGAAAAACTTTATTTCTTATTAATTTATTCTATTTGTTCGAGAGGATTAGGTCTCATGTCTTAAAATTTCAGACTTTCTGAGTCGACACTTGGATACGAGTCCTATACCCGAACCCTAGTAACATAGCACTAGTAATCATCTTATATATAAAAGATCAACTTAATAAGCATTAATTTCAAATTGTAAGAATACTTACAGTGTCGAGGCAAGTTGAAGGAGCTCATCAATACATCCGACCACTGCACTCCATTGAGCCACAATAGCAACTCTTTTTCTTAATATTTCCCTTGGAGTCCAAAACCTGATCTATAATATAATTGTAATGATAAGCAAGCTCTTGTAGAGGAGGAATGTTTTCTGCTGCAAACAACATTATGTGGGGAATTCTCTTGTCCTCGTGGTCGTAAAGGACATTCTGTGCATATAGGTTAGGAGTACAACTATGATTGATAAACCTCCCAACGTTCCCATAACTCACCGCATCAATGGTAAAACCGACATTTTCTATCACATCAACACTAATTGATGGCTTATCAGGCAAGAGATCTGAAAGTCCTTCCCAAAGAGTAGAATCATTATAATTTTGCCCAATATCAAATAGATATTCATCATTGCTAGTTCTTTGGTCAGCTTCCTTGTCATCCAGCAATTCCCCTATATATTCACATATGAAGCTACCTGACGGAATTGCAGATAGACATCTTACACCCCACCCCCTAGAGTTGGTCTTGAAGATCTCAAGAGGAAGTTTGATACCATGTTGGCTGACTCTATTGTGACAAGATGGAGGGCACTTGCACAACGGCCCACATTCATATACAAGGGACTTGGCTTGAACAATAGCTCCACTGTAATTGTATGGTATGTCCCCTCCATTCTTAAAGGCACAAGCACAATGCTCAGAATCTGAACATCCATTCTTACAATCACAGCCCTTAGGGGGTATAGGCCGGCACCAATCAGGGTACATCATGCTTGTAATATATGTAAATGGTGGCGGTTTCTCATCATCAATGGTATTGACTGCACCTATTGGGACATCCTCTTTTCCATCAGAAATATCAGCTATACAACGACCCTCACGTTCTTTAAATTTCTTGGACTGTTTCATTTCCTTCCAAGCAAGCTCTGGCTGACCTGGAACCCTTCTCAGCTCGAATTTGAAGACCAACTTTCCATGGGACCCAAGATCGTGCCAGTATTTTTCAACAGTGTATAGTCCATCATAAGTGTACGTTGCAATTGTTTTTGATCTTCCATTATTGGGTCTTCCATCAGAACTCTCCACAGCCTTTGTCTCTTTAAAACCACGAATAACCCTAACCAGAGTCTTTTTATCTATGCAATTCTTCAGCCCTAAATTTCCTCGTTCAAGTTTCTGATCTTCAGGCTGCTTATCTCCACCAGTAGCGTTTCCTCCCTGACCAGTATAAATCAGTACATGGGGATTATCCACATCATTAGCATAACCTCCAGAAGCCACAATACTGATCGCAATCGGTTGTTTATTGACCTTGATTATATCTATACCACCTTGCAGGGGTGTATGAAGCCCAATTATAGCGAGTTCTATGCGATAGTTAAATATATCACCTACTTCTACTCCAGGAACAGGCCCTATTCCTTTCACTGTGTTAAGATATCTTCCAGCCTCCTTGAGCGTCTTTGCAGCACGTATATCAGCCCTCTTACTGGCGTTATCTTGATCTTTCGATTTGGTTTCTTCTGCTTGCAAATACCTTCTATGAACAATCTGGAATAAGCGCAATGTATCACGTACCTTAGCACGCATACCTCTCTCACTTGAAGAGCTAGAAACACGAGGGGTGAGATAGACATCTACATCATCTCTTGGAAGCAGCTGATAATCGTCAAGTTCATCATTCTCAGAAGAGTCGCTATCATTTATGACATCCAGTGGCCTAGAAATCTCATCTATGCCCTCCTCGTGATAAGGTATCACCATCATACCTCTTCCTGCCAAGACCTTGCTATCCAATTTGTTTTCATTGGGTGATCCCTTGCGTGTACCCTGGCTAGAAAAGTCACACTTCCCTTTTTTTCTCTTAGCCACAGTTGGTGTTGATTTAACTGCTCCTTTCCCCACCCTCCATGGGCAGTGGTCTGCAGCCATAAGACCTTGTACGATAACCAGCTCTGACCCACTTCCTGCGCCTACAATTTTACAGGGAGCACCAATTGATTTTTTCTTCTTGTTTTTATCCTTAACATAAACCATTATCTCTTTGTCTAGTCCATCAGGTAAATTTCTTGTATCTCCCTCACATTTTCCATAAAATTCTGATAGTTCAATCTCTTTTTCAATTTTCTCACCATTTTTATCTTCAGAAATTTCCTCTTGTCCCCTTGTGTCATAAGATTTTCTGAACAAAGGAGTTCTATCAGAATCACAATTAAGTACAAGTGTATCCCCACCTTTTACAGTAGCAAGACCTTGTTCCTTGTCCTTGACAACATTGTCAGCTTCATGCTCTACTCCAACTAGATTTGCATTATATAGTACAATAGCTTTCTCCATTTTGGAATCTGGCTCCCTTTGATCAATATGTTGGTCTTTAGTATCACATAGCTTTGGCACAATATGCCCACAGCCAACAGGGAAATCACGAACAGCAGAAACTTTTCTTCGAGGAGGATATTTAGGTTCTTTCCAAACAAGATTTGGAGGGACAGGATAATGTGGTAGTGAACAATGTTGTACACTAGCTCCCTTATCCAAAGCTATGTCATCAACAGCAAGATCAAGATTGCCAGTATCCTTTCTTGCACTGGGCGACTCTACAATTGGTTCAATTAACTCATTTAACGTATCACGAATTTCATTTTCTGACTTAGAATCCTCATCAATGTTTGACAAGACTTCAAATGATTTAGGATTGTCCTCTGGCAGCTTCAAATTCTCTTCATTTTCCTGTTCTACCTCATCGCATTTATTCAATTTAGGTTTCTTTTGCTCATTCCCATTTGAGCATGATGGAGCATCATGACTTTGTGACTCAACTTTTTCTTCCGGAAGTAATTTTTCCATCACTGCACAAACATCGCTACCCTTTTCCCTACTAAAATCTACATTTATTAAAGCACCACACTCTTTTTTCCCAATACTTCCCACTTCCTTCAATTGTGGGCTAATTCCTGCAGCATTTGGCCCACATCCACCAGGAAAATCACGGATTGCAGAGACTTTCCGCCGTGTATATCTTGGTGGGGAGACTAGCAAAGAACAATCCCCGTTTTCCAATGCCCTCTTATCAGCAACTATTGAACCCATTTCCCTATGATTGCTCTCTAACACCCGGACGGAAGGTTGGTTCGAGAGAACCGCTACGGTCTGCTTGAGGCCCCCTAGTATAAACCTATAGCAAGAATGGATTCTAATTAATACTACATCAATTCACTTTTGTCCCAATCAAAATTCTAAAAAAAAAAAACCCAAATAATTCAACCAAAAATGTAAAACTGGGCGCAGGCATCTAGTAAATCCTAAATTAATTAACCAATTAATCACTTGCCCTAATCAAAATTCAGGCAATTTCTTACGAAAAAGCTGAATTTCAAAATCGTTACGCTTAATCCATCTAACATTCAGCGAGGCAACTCAAAACCCTTAATTGGCAGTTACTTTTCTAAATCCACAACAACAATCAAAGAAAATTAAAACTGTTATACAACAAAATTCATCAAATCATCAATGTCATCCAAATCAACCCACAATATTTTCACTAATCAAACCAATATCTCCGAAAGAAATCCATATTCAAGAAAATGAAGAATTCCAGAAAATAATAAATTGAGACATTAATAAATTGAAGATTATCAAGAAACTAACCTTGAGAAATGCGGAAAGAAAAGACGATTGAAGAGAGAGAAAAGCGTCAGCCGCCGGCGACGGCGAGCATGGAGGAGAGATGATGCTTACGACAAGTCGACAACCACACTGTACTTAAATAACCACCTTTGTCCTTTGTTTTATGCTAAATTGCTTTCAAATGGTGCTTAGAAAATACATTTCCATAGGGGAGTACATTGTACATATATACTCGATGTAGACGAGCAAATGTATTTTCAAGGGCATTTTGGTAAATTTGCGCTCTGGTGGACTTTTCCATGAGGGAAAATGTTTACCATTTTTAGGTAAAATAAACCCAAAATTCAAGTTTATCACAGTGTAGTTGATGAAAAATGGATAAAATTGTTACTTTATATTCGAAAATATAGCTTACAACAAATGAGAAGTGGAGAGTCAAGATTTTGAAACCCTAATTTATGATGATGATAACTAGTAGTAATTGAATCCCTCAAAAAAAAAAAAAAAAAAACTAGTAGTAATTGAAATCAAGAGTGTGGAAATTCACAACCATAAAATAAAATAAAATAAAAATATCAATTATTATTGTACATCTGTTGTAAAATTGTCCTAAAATGATCGGCAATTACCTTTAAAATGAATAAAAGTTATCCTAATGTGTTTAAAATTTTCCAAATACACATAAAAGTTATCTATGGTTAGCATAATAACATTCTTTAATTGAGAAAAAATCAAATCTTAGTAAATAAAAGTAATTATATTACCCTTATATAAATTATCTCGTTCTCAATTTACATTAGAATCACATTAGATTTAAGCCTATAAGGTTACTCAATAATAAAGGCAAAAGTTACCCGAATTGGCTAAAACCTACCATATTATTGTTCAATTTACATTAATATTATTGTAAATAAGGTGTACACAAAAGCTTTTTTTTTTTTTTGGTGGAAATTAGTTAGAGAAGATTTATATTGCAACTTTAGATGATAATTTTCTTTTTACCACTAATTTAGGAGAGGGGAGCAATTTGTCAATACTAGGTAGATAATCTTTTAAAAATAAGTGCATATCTCTCAATAAGATAGCAACAAAAAGAATAAAGAAATAAATAGAAATAAATAATCTCACATTTGTGTGGTCTGATAATAACAATCTGGTCTTTTGATTATTACGAGGCAATCCCACCTCTGTATGTCATGTTCTTTTAACAGACCATTTTACCTGCAACTTGTTAAATAGGTTAATTTTTTTTTTAGTCACGTGTCACTCAATAATTGGTCTAAATAAATAAATAAAAATATAAACAGGTTAAAAAAAGAAAATAAAAAGCCATCAACCACCCTACCCATTGTAAAACCCTAACCTTTACCCTAGCCCCAGCGAAAACCGGTCGGCCGCCACCCTAAACCCCCGAAAATAGTCGGTCGGAACCCCTCAATACCAGAAGCGGCCACCCCCGAAATTACCCCTCTAACACAAAGCCCATCCCCGAAACCACCACAACCACCACCCTTCAAACCACCACAATCGCTGAAAAACCCCCTCTAACCGCCGAAAACCCCCAAAACCTCCATCCCATCACCAAAAAACTCCTCCCAACCTCCCTAATAACCACCCCAAAAATCCCCATCTCAGTCCTGATAACCCCCCTTAAACAACCTAAAAACCGCCAAACCCCATGACACTCCATCGTTTCCCTGGTAGGTGGCTACCAACCGGGCATTTTCAGAGGATAAGGAGGGCAGTCGGCCGGTTTTGGTGGTGGCTGGGGCAAGGGCTAAGCTAGGGTTTCATAGTGTTGGGTTGGTGGTGCAACATCCAGACTAAGCCATTTAATCACCACGAAAACGGTGGAATGTCTTTAAATATTAACAGTTGCACAATTTCAAAAGTAGTAATCTGGTACAACATCTGGACTACTCACTAGTATAAAATATAAAAAAAGGTCTAAGATCAATTTAAATTACATATGAATATATAATTACCCTCGCTTTCAAACATAAAAAAAAAAGGAATATATAATTACCCTCCATAATTTCATGATGAATAAAACTAGTTTAACCCATACTTCCCCGAGTCCTCTATAAATTTTTTTTTTTTTTTGAAGAACTCTATAAAATTAATTGAGAACATTAATTTAATCTCTTTGTCTAATCTTTGTCGATCTCCATATGAAAAATGAAAACTACCAATACTCCAATGGTATCTGCGATTTGATTACTTGTATTTATAAATTGGACTAAACCATCTAACCGCCAGCTAGTAGCATTGATTAGCATGTCTACTACACGTAGTCTACGTACTACACATGTAACAAACCTTCTAAATTGGTACTATAAATCTTTAATTAGAACTTAAAATCAAATTAGAAATCAAAAATAGAATATTACAATTAAAATAGAATTAGAATTGCCTAATAATAATAAATTAAATATGCTCTCTTTTCCCTCCTATTTGTTAGGAATTCAGTTTGTAGTATGTGTCACTAATTATTGAACTCATACACGTACAAGTAAAAATGCGAATTATAATAGGAACCACAAATTCTCACAAATTTTGATTGCTTATTAGTTAGTTCATTGATTTTTCAAAAGTTAATTATGCTCAACATCTATCATAATCGAAAAAAAATCTCCTTTAAAAGTCACCCAACATATAATTACGTGAGATAATCTAAGTTTGAACTAATCGAAAGACTTAGGTCAAAATGGTGATGAAACAAACATTATTTTGTGCATTTCTTCTTTGTGCTTCATGGAACTTCTTATCTTTTGCTAGACCCGTGCTAGAGGTGATGGATGTAGATCCACAAGATGATATAGGGCTCGATGACGCCCCGTTAAGGAAAACCGACGATCTGACTTTCATGCCGGAGGTCAAGATGGATCCACCACCATCCTCATCATTATCTCGAATCCCCGACTTCTCTAATGATTTTGGGCCAACCATGCCAACCAAGATTAATGGTGAGAAATCCTCATCTAATGTGCCTATAGTGTCTCAAGGAGAAGGGAAAAAGACCTACAATGGTCACTCAAATGATTGGTGGTATAAAGTAGATGCCAATGGCAAAGTTGAGGCATCTCCCAACTTCTCAAATGATAAGGGTGTACCACAAGAGGTTAAGCAACAAGTTCAAAGCGTGTCAGGTCAATTGAAGCATCATGGTCATCGTTAATTACTCATTTGATCTATCCGAAAATAACAGTCACATATATGTATGAGATGCTATATTAGTGCGTTCAGAAAAGTGTACGTTGTCATCTTTCTTAGAATAGTATTGGTTTGTGATTGATTTTCCTACTATCCTTTCTAAGATCGAGTAATAAGGGGTGTTGGAAAGATCGTCCAACCATTAGATTAGTTGTAGGAGTGTATTTTTAAAGACAAAAACTAAAAATTATGCCAAATTCTAAATATAAGGGTTAAAACAATTTGAGTTATTTCAAGATCAAGGGAACTATTTAGGGAATATGTTTATTGTAAGAAGCACATCGTCACATTTTGTGAATAAAGAATATAGAAATCTGTTTGCTTCTCTCAATAAATTCTCTCTTGATTTCTTAAGTTCCTTCGATGACAACTCGGATTTAATTGAGTTGTTATAATACATATACAATCTTGTAGGGGTGGAACTAATTAAAAAAAAAAAAAAGTTAAAATAGAACTAGATTTTCTTAACGACAATGATTATTAAATACTACCTCCATTAACTATTATGTGCAACAAAAGGGTATTATTTGTGAAACATAAAATATTTTTTTGTTGCACATAATAATTAACGGAGGTAGTAAATAAGTCATGATGAAGAATTCTACACTCTAGCTATTCGCTTCTTTTGGTGTTCTTGTTTAAAATTTTCAAAGATTTCAATATAACTTAATAAAAGTTTAATACATGTGAGATATTGTTTAATTCATCTCTTCATCTCTTCATCTCTTCATCTCTTCAATATGTACTTAAAGATACTTAAGTATGCGTGTGTGCATTCCCTTGAGAAAAATTTATACATGTGTGCACTAGTGCATAAAGGGTGGTCGTAGGTCAGCTAAATGCGTCAAGTTTGAAAATTAAACTGTGCAAAACGTGAAACCGAAACAAAAATATTGAGAAAATCGTCATAGTAAAAAAAAAACGTTTATCGAAAGACATTTTTGTATATAAATCAACGTCTTTTATTATATATGGGCCCAGTAATGTTGATTTATTTACAGAAATGTCGTGGTAACTAGAAATGTCATAGTAACTGTGATTTTATGTTTATTTATTTACAGAAATACTATTAGATAGACGTTTTTTGTTTATCACAAAGATAAACTGCTCTCACTCAATTATATTAAACCGAGGAAGTAGCTTGTAGCTCATATTAATAAAATCCACAAAGATACATAACAATACATGGATGATGAACAAAAGCATCACAACACATTCATGATTCATGCATAACATAAGTTGTAATAACATATGGAGTATTGAAATACAGAGTAAATAAAAAGCGTTGCGTTATTTATTACAAGCATTGTCAGCTTGAATTAATTAATTAACCGCACGCATATTAATTAATTAGTACTTAATAATTTTGATGTAATTAAGCAATGATGAAGGGAAGAACGTTCAACAGGAACTCCTCGTAGCAGAAAGTTGCTTTGCCACACACAGCCTTAGCGTTAAATGTCTCAGTCAAACCCTGCAATTTAAAATAGATTAACAATTAATTATAGTCATTAACAATAGTTATTAAATTATTATATGTAAAATTGAAACATGTAGTTACCTTAATAGTGAGGCAGCACCTGCATTAAGAAAAGGGAAAACAAAAAGAAGGTTCATTAATATATATGATTACAGAAATACAACCGGAAAATACTGCATACAAAAGTAATATGATATACTCTCTTCGTCCTCAATTAATTTGTAATTTTCAATAAGGAATTCAATATTTTGAAACAAATTATTTGACAATGGAGTGAGTGTGTGTATTAATGTATAAGTATACACGAGTACATATTTTTTGGTAGGTAAGGCGGTAAGAGACAACAATCTTACCATCAGACCAAGTACTACTTTGCATATACACGAAATGTATGTCATATATAAAGTATGCATGAAATTAAAGAGATCGAAGTAGAGAAGGACGTACTCAATGAAGGCATCATATTGAAGAGAGCATCTTCCAGATTTGCTAAATTTAGCAACAAGCAGATTCACAATAATTGGAGAAACACAAAAACCCAAGCTGCTCATTGCTTGGTTCATCTCAGATGAATCAATGCTTCCATTCCTGTCCCTATCAAACCTTTGGAACATTGCCTGTAAATTTTTAATGGATATATATAAGATACAGAATTATAAATTATATAAATTGCGTATTTACAATAAAATTTTCTCTCCTAAAATCCCTTTTATTATTTTGACTTACCCTCCAGGTTTGGAGGCACTTGAGCAGTGGGACGAATTCCTTAGGACCTGTTCAAAAAGGTAAATATTAACACTCGAACAAATATTTCAATCTTAAAACTCTAACCATCAGCTTAATCTTTGGTTGAATTGTTCATTTGACTGTTACATGTCAATATATTTTGTAATAAAAAAGTGTCACTAATATCGTTGTGTGTTTTACAGTAAGTTATTGTGAGATTGTTTTAACCTACGTGACAAGTACAAAAGCGTTTAAGGTGTACTTACCAATCATCCTCTTGTTAGAGTGGGTGAACTCATACATGAGAAGGTGGACGGTTCTAAGGTTAAAGTTATGGTTACAGTTGGTGAGCACAGACTGCAGCTCCCTGTCGTCGATGATTCCATTACCATCCCTATCGATCCTGTTGAAGCACTCAATGACCTTAGGGTCAGTACCAGGTGGGAAGGCCGATGGCATGATCTCACAGAACGCGTCCTGCCCAAACACAGTCATTGCTTGGGAGGAAGAATACTGAGACTTCATGGAGGAACTGTGCTGCATCATGCCACCTGCTGAATGCTGTGACTGCTGCACCAGGCCTCCCCCATGCTGCGACTGCTGCATCAGGCCGCCGTGCTGGGACTGCTGCATCATGCCCTGGCGCATGCCGTACTGCTGGTGCTGCATCCCGCCGTGTGATGAAGAGTGATGAGCCTGAGATGATAACATCGACGATGGACGATGCATTTGTTGTTGTGATCCATCATCACAGTAGCTGCTCTGACGATAAGCTTGCATATTTGCTCTGTTTTTTTTTTTTTAGGGAATTCCCTCTTAATTTAAATGAGGGATTGAGTTAGCTTAAGATGTTTGTGATTGATGTTTGCAAATGAAGATTATGCAGTCTTTTTATAACACAAGAAAAATTCACTATTATGGTCCCTAAATTCCTTTTTTTTTTTATACTTTTATTAATGGAGGAATTTTAAAGTGGTAGAATCCAATTACACCATTTGAGCATTTTTATTTCAAATGGTGAAGTTTGCTTAGCATCGTTTTTCTTCTCATTAATGCATAATAAAACTTGCTCATTTTTAGTAATTAATCACCAAATACATCATACATCGATACATGTATACATCTTGTATTTTTTTATTTTATTTTTTTAATAAGGTAAGAAAAAGAGGGAATAAAAAAATATTGTACTATACATCTTGTATGTTGGACACTATTAGTAGCTGTAGACTTGTAGTAGCGAGTATAGTCTCTTGCATCACATTAGTTTATAGTCTATATTCGTCAATAAACAGTAGAAAATATACTACCTCCGTTACATATTATTTGCAACGATTTGACATAAAGTAGAGAAAAAAATGTCTAATCGTTGCAAATAATATGTAACGGAGGTAGTAATTACCTTGATGCCCTTGAGTATAGTCTCTTGCTACCAACATTAGTTTATAGGAACAAGAATTTTTTAACAAACGTATAAATTGGTGTATGGAAAGCCATAAAAGACAATAATATGTATACATGATTTGTTCTATGTATTATTTGTTGTACACCATATGTATGCTCATAAATGAACCCAACATGCATGACAATTCACTTACTTCCTAGATTAATATAGATAATCATAGCAAGATTTATATTGTAATAATTAAATTTGAGATAAAATTTTCTAATTCAGATAAAACAAATTAAGAAGAATCAACCTATCAACGACATAAGAACTCGTTGATTTTTTTTTATGTACAACCGGTTGTGACATTCCTTTCTCATAAAGTTTTACGCAACATATTTAGAAATGCATTCGATAGTGGACAGATGCTACGACCAACCTAATTGATACTATCATAATATTCTCCATACAAGGCCATAACCGAGGATTCTGTTTTCATCATATCATGATATAAAATACAGAAAGTTTAATTGTTCCATCAACTTTTTTAGGATTCTGACCTATTCTTATCTGGAATATTTACATATTTAAATTCATGATTGACCACAAATTGCAATTACTTTCGAATTTTTTAATTTTTATATTGCATGGCAATATGGCATGTTTTCATATGAATTGTTTTCTAATTTTGAGATGAAAAAGGGACTTGCCATAGTAGTACGAATATTTTGGAGGACCCATGGCAAATTGGCAATGTTATCATATGACATGAATATCGTATAAAGACATGACTATTGGCATGAGAAATAATTACCAATGTAACCTAATGCGACTAATAACGTATTGACTGACTTATTAAGGTTATTACCAAATTTTAGAGGTATGGAATTCGAATCCTATCCAAGTAAGGGTATTTGGGTGTAAATATTATGTTACCCTTTAGCCCGCAAATACTAGATGAAAAAACTGTGAAGGTTAAGGTCTGATTAAGATCCACCTTACCAATTAAAAATTAAAAAATTAACCGCAGATTATCAACACTTTAATCATCAACTTTTTTTAATGAATTACCAACAACAATCCAACCATAATTATCGAATCCTGTTCTCGTAACGTCTTTGATTTGTGTGCTGATATTGAGATAGTGTTGTATGGAATAATCAAATATGATTGTTCTTTCTAACGTATAAATAATCAAATATGATCGATAAAAACGGCAGGATAAAAAAGGAAGGGTAACTTTAAGCAATCCCTTATCATAGTGTTACAATAATTATTAATTGCAATATATAGCCAATAAAGAATTAAGAGATTAGAACAGGCTACACAGTTTTCTGTATGGCTTTCTTCACTCTGAAACCTCATATTTTAATAAGTCAAGTACCAAGACGGTGCAAAATTGTGAAATAACAGGCGGTAAATACCGTAAATTGCAAGTGCAAAATTCCAGTAAGCATTTTACAATAACCAAAAGAGATTATCTGAACAAAATCAAACTTTCCCACAAAATTTTCGATTCTCTAAGTTTAAGCAGGTTCGCTAAGATGGAAGTCAAATGCAAAAAAAATTATGAGATCTACACAAACTCTTTGGCCTGAATTAATCAAGGGTCTCAATAAAACTACACGGTAGAAACACTCGTAGCAGCACCCCCGTTGAAAACTACCTTGCTGGTTTGCCTGTCCTTAACTACCTTGCTGGTTGTGCCTGTCCCTGCTCAAGAAGTTGGCCAACTAATTTGTATGTACGCCCTGACAATGCCTTGGTGTGATCAATGAGCTGCTCATACCTGGAAAGACAAGAAGCATAAATCAACTTGCAAAACTACATAATCATCATAAACAAAAAGAAAAGAAAAATGTGTGACGAGGAATTGCTTTTCTTACACATTAGGGTAATTAGGCTCCATCACAATGGTGCCCAACTTAGAGTCGATCTTGGCATCAAGCTTAGAAGTGCGTATGAGGGTCATAATCCACCTCTCTGCTTCCTCATAACTCAAATTCAATTTCTCAGCTAGGACCCTGACCAATACAAATTTGATCAGAAGAAAGAACTTTCAATTTTATATACAGTAATAAAAATTCACAGTGAGTAGTTCATATACCCTGTATAAATTATACTACACAAGCCAAAGCGCTGATTAAACATAATTCTCAGCATGAATATTCACTGTGGTAGTTCATATACCCTGTATAGATTATACTACACAAGCCAAAATGCTGATTAAACAAAATTCTCAGCATGAATATCAGATAATCACTTGACAGTTGCTCATCAAATTCAAATCATACAACTCTTACCAAGTATTGCCCCAATATTTAGGAGCCAAAAACACTCTTTTCACCAAATTACTCAAAAAGACATACAGGGGAGAAAATCTAGAGAAAGATATCATAATCCCTTAGTCATGTAATTACAACTCAGGTTGACAGAGTAGTTTACCATAAGATAACTCAAAATGACAGTATTTTATATTCCATGAAACAAGATAGATTAGAGAGCAAGAACATACCCCAATTCAATGCGCTGATGTATCCTACAATAGGTTTCACAGATGAAAAGACGGGCATTTTCAAGAAACTCATCCCTTAGTGGAACAGTGGTATAACTTCCCTCCTCAACTCGTTTACCAAGGAATGGATCATTTAGTATGACCTAGAAAAAAAAAAAAAAAAAAAAAAAAACATTTGCATAAAATGAGAAGTGCAAGCATTAAGAATAATAGGTAGTCCAAAAAGAAGTTAAAATTCCAAATAATGCTTGAATGATAAAATGTCAAAGCAATGTTCTGAATTTGCTATATTAAACTACAATGAATATGAACACCTGTCTCACAAGAAGTTAAAATCCAAAATTATGCTTTAATGAAAAAACTTAACAATGTTAATTATAAAACAAAAATTTTGAAGCTGTGTATCGAGCCCATGCAATGAACAAAACCCATAACTTGGCAACGAGACTATTTCAAACTCACTCTGCCCCATTGAGTTTGTCCACTTCTCCCTACACACAAAATTTTCACTAATTTTTTAGACTCCATAATATTTGTGAAGAGTCACCCTGGACATCCATATTCCATAGGACATTTTTATACTTGATAGCATAATTAAGGGGAGAATAACCTAGTATCACAACAAAAATAAAAAATAACAAGACTATGGCCAAAAGCATCAATGAACATGCACAGTTTATTCATACAATTCATTCTTCTGAATTTTATGCCTAAACATAAAAGAGGGGGGGGGGGGGGAAGGAATTGAACAAAAGAAACTACAGAAAACCCACAAAGGAATATGCAGTATACTAGCAAGAGGTTCAGTCCAAGAGGATGAAAATTCTTACTTCTTCACATTCCCTCAACTTTTGTTGTGCCCCGTCAAAGTCATAGTTGACATAAACACATGCCAAAAACTCGGTGATGGGGTCTTTGTAAGAACATTGCTCCGGCTGAATGACCTTAACAAAATCTTTAAACTGAGGCCTTCTCCTCTTGTTGACAATGAATGCAGTAGCAAGATAACGCAGAAGATGAGGAGCATTTGTTTGGATAGCATTAAGATACCTGCAAGGTGAAATAATTTGTTCAATTAAGCTATAGAGCTGCCATATTTTAGGGCAAAAGAGCTTTGGTACCATATTCAAAGAGCACAAAGTAAAACCACAAGTACCACAGATTCAATAGCTACAGATAACTTTTTCTTACAGAAGTATAAGTGAAATTCAGTTAGCAACCAGGCTTCCCAAACTGAAAAGAGAGCTTGGAAACAAAGAAAAACAAAGGAATAGAGATAAGTACAAATTGCAAGACTTACTTGTCCTGATTGAACAGGTCAATTATCTGGGTCCTGCCATTGTCATGGTTAAAAAAGATAAATAAGCTCCAGTGCATCAGCCATATTCTATTTTGCACTTGATTCAAAGGTGATGTGAAAGCCTGCAGCACAAATTGGTCATCAGCAAACACATAACACAACGATGGAAATTATTTTTCACAAAACAATCAAAAAGAACAAAGAAACAGACCTTAGAATCAATTATCTCTTTCAAACGGTTAAGTTCCTCAAGGGCAATGTCCCAGTTTTGCATTAAAATTTCAGCAGCGAGCTTTCCCCACAATGCACTCAGACTTCTTTCACTGTTGGTGCACAGAGCTCTGTACTGATAGAGAAAATCAGCTGCGCCAGAATAGTTACCACATTCAAATTGGAATTTAGCATACTGATACAATGCCTCAATCTGCTCTGGACCAATCTGAACAGAACCACCAATGAGATTTAAGAATATTCCCAGAAAGAGAATTTACATAAATTAAAATCACATGGCACAAGAGCCAATGATAAACAAATAAACAGCTACTGTATGACAAACAATGAAGCTGGTGAGTGGTGACTGCTCTGTCAGCCAATTACATAAAGTTTGCCACACTAGACTAGGCGAATTACATGTTTAACCACCTAGAAAACTAACTTGAACTTGTAATGTCATTCTAGATCAGTTGTAAATTTCCAGATATTTATCAGATATGTTGCTAAATTCCACCCTTAAGAGAAGGGTCTACTAAACTTGCCTTGCACCTCTCCCAAATAAAAAAATGCAGTGTTGCTACATAGGCTTAACTACTCAGATGATTGCTTTACCATAAGCTAGAGTAAACCCACAACCAAAAGAATCTTTGGGCATCAGCCACCAAAAAAAGGCATGGCAGTAAATCAATGCACTTGATAGCATTGAACATAATATATTTGACTCATGACGAAATGAATGAATGAAAAGCTCAAACAAGCTATGAACTTCCAAAGTACCGCAGAAACATTATCACCAGCTAATTATTGAGCTAAACCATTAGGAAGAATACTAGAAAAAGGAACTTATTTTGAAAGCATAGTTTATTGAAGGGCACTAATTTCTCTTTCTAACCAAGCAAATTATCTCAGTGTTTATTACTTTTCATGTGGAAAAGAGTTGTGCAACCATTTCCAAACCAACACAAAAAAAAAATTGTTAAAAAGTAAATATAAATCAAAAGTGACAAGAAGATTTTAAATAAATTAGTTTTAATCCACTAGAGAATAATTTAAGGCAGTCTGGATTTGACCATGATTGAGTAACACAACAATCATCCAGGATTCCAGGCTGCCCCAACAAACAGTTCACTTCTAGGCCGGGTGAAATAGAGTCCTCATTTGAATGAAAGAAATGTAGCTGAGAACCCATTGGATCGGCCATTAGAAAATCAGTCAACAAAGGAGATATTATTGTTTCAAGAGCATTGATAAAAATAAATGATTTATGGAAGAATTATGCAATAAAGTTTCTGATGCAAGGATGTAAAATCAAAGGAGCTTCAACATTTGTCCCTTGTTTGCAATGGAACAAACAGAGTGCTCACTACGTTCTCTCAAAGGCAATAGAGTTAGTGTCTAAGACAAAAGAAGAAAGCATAACGATGTAACCCTTGCTAAAAGTTAAAGCTAATGTTTAAAGTTCAATCCCCCACATAATATGCCATTAGACTTTCAGAGTGACTTCATCAAACACCACTGATATTGACCTTCACCTTAATAAAATAATTTTAAGCATATATGAAAGATACGATAATCAAATGTAGAAAAGTAAAAATAAAGCAGCCGTAGGAGTTGCGCAAAATAAATTTTACACACATGAACAAATAAACCCCATCACTGAATAACCATCCAAACCCATAAATACTACTCATTACAATCTAACTATCTAGCATGAGTAGCAAAATAAAACAAACTGAATAACCTAACTGTGACCATTCTTTCGAATTAGCCAACATGTCCACTAGAAATTCAATATCTTAACAACCACAGCTCCAGCAACACAAAACATAGAGCAATCATAGAAATTTTTCATCCTAACCGCCGCAGCATACCCCCCTCTCTGACCACAGATAACAAAGATATACGCTATAATTGACAGTAAGCCCTTGCAGAATACACCACATCCTAACAGTGAGGCAGATTATAACGAAACAAGCCATAAAGAAGCCGAAATTACATTCAAGATAAGATATATGGCATTCAGGTCAATTAATCTTTCAATTACAAGTAATTAAAAAATTATATAAATTAAATTTCTTACAAAAATCAAATTTTTATAATGTTTACTAATACGAAAATAGAACAAGTAGAACTTTTAGAGACGAAGGAAAAATAAAAACCTGATAACGCTCATTGAGCATCTGAAGATTATACTGTTTATCAGCACGCAATTCCTGAACTTTATCCTCATTCTGAAGAAACGAAACCAAAGGAGCCGCACCTTCTTCCAACGACTTCAATCTCGCAACAACCTCAACTCTCCTATCCATCATCTCTACAATCAAATCAAATCCAATAAAAATTAATCATAAACTCAAACCCTAATCCAAAAAATCAGGAAAAAAAAAACCCTAGGAGAGAGAAAATCAAAATTGACATTAAAAGCAATACCTTGAGGAACATCATCGGTGTGGTAGAGGCTCTTATGGATATCCATGGCGTAATCAACCATGTTAGTTTGATTGAGAAGCTCGATCTTATTCCTGAGAAGCTGATCTTCTGGGTACATTTCACGTTCTTGGAGAAATTCGAGAAGAGGGAAGACGAGATGACGGTCTAAGTGGGGCGCGATTTTCGGGGTGAGGTCGTAACTCGCCATTGTTGCTGCTGCTGCTGTTGTCGTCAAGGGTTTTGAGCGGCGGCAACAAGAGAGATGGGGAAAAAGAGGTGAGTGTTTGATTTGAGTTTAATGTTGATAAAACTTGGATGTGTTTGGTACTTTGGTTGATTCCCCTTTTTTATTTTTAGGGAAGAAGTGTTTGGTTGAAAATAGGTATTGGTAAGGTAATGTTTTATGTTTATTTCACCGGATTTATTTAAAGACTAGTTTTGTACCCGGACATCATGGTTGATAAAAAAATTAAGATAACATTTTTACTTGAATGTTAGATACTACGATTTTGTGTAGTTTTGTTTGTAAATAGATATCTATGTTATTATTGACTTTTACTTTTTTTTTTTTTTTATTGAACTTAAATTATTTTCACTGAATTGAAAGTATTTTTATCAATCTAAAATTATTTTTACTGATTGAAACTTATTTTACTTATTCTCTAATATATTTTAAATAACAATGCATTTTGAATGCGGATAAGCTCACCATCTTGTCGGACAAAGTAACCCCTATAAAACTGATCGATTAAACCATGTAATATTACCCTATCCGCAACACTGATTGAGTAACCACTATAACAGTGACCAGGTAACCCGTATAACACTAACGAAGTAACTCTGATTTTGTAATAGTTGGTGACACGGTTTAGCAAACTACATATAAAAGTTTATGTGTAAATATATTATAAATGAATCTTTTTTTAAAGAAATTTTTAAAACAAATTTGATGATGGAAATAGAATTGAGTTTAAGTAAATATAAAGTTTTGTAGTTTAGGATAAACTTTTTGAATTCAATGTTAAATACGATCATATAATCCCTTTTGATAATGCAGGATATTTAGACAAAATGAACTGCAATTATTCTAAAAGTACTTTTACCAAAACAAAAATTATTTTTCATGATTAAAACTTATTTTCACTAAATAGTACTGAATGATAATATATTTATTAAAAGTTATAAATAATTTTGTATATATGAAATATTAGAAGTATATCGATAATAAATTCTATACAACATTTTTATCTTTAAAATTCTATCTAAATTTCGCTTACTTAGCATCATATGTGTCACAATAATACCTATTTGTCGCCTACGTGACGTGACAATTGGCGAAAAAACTAGAATGCCTAATGTCGATGTCTCATGACTGGTTGCGAGACCGGCTTTATTTATTAGTAATATGATATGATATGATTTGTTTGTAAATAACCACCTTTAAAACACTCCTTGTTAAACAAACTGTCTATTTTTTTTTTGAAATTAAAAAATATTACCCCTAAAACACAATGGCAATAGGTATCAATAAGTGGTGAAATCTAAATTTTTTGTCTTTTTTTGAGTGGTATTTTAAAACAATTATTTAGGTGGTAATATTTATAAATGAGTTATCTATTGTTACTAAAATACAAAATTTCCTTATATATAGTTGTCTTTTTTTAATTTTGGAAGTCCTTAAGGGTGCCGACGAAATCGAGGATGGTGCTGCTACAAGATCCTTGAAGTGCTTCTTTTAAGATTCCGCAAGGTGTAGTTGGGTCTAGTTCTTTGGTCTTGTTTTTGTTTGGTTTTATGCTTTAGGTTGTTTTTGTTTGATTTTATGCTTTAGGCATGCTATTTTATCTTTATTTTGATTTTTAATTTGATTTAGGTTGTTATCTTCTTTTGGGGCTTGCCCCTCATGTTCACTATAGCTGATCAAAGTAAGTCTGGCCCGCTAGCTCAACCCAATTTTGGGCGGGTTTTGTACAAATTTTCCGGCCCATAATTGGGTGGGGAAATTTTTTTAAAATTTTGGACAGGCTTGGGGATGCGATTTTATATTTTTATGTAATTTTAGTTGATTTTATTTTGCCCGCCCGACTAGTTTGGGCGGATTTGTGCACATAATTTCCAGGCCAAAGCTTGGCCCGACATGGCCTGAGGAATGGGCTACTTTTTTTTGCCTCAGGCCGACCCATATGATCACCTCTAGTGTTGAAAAAAAAAACAATTGAAAGCCCTTAAAATAATTTTTATTAACTAAATTTAACTTATAAATACATTGAAATAATTTCAAATATGGGGATTACAACTTACAAATATGGGTATGTAGTTCTCATGTACATTTAAGTTAAGTCATCATTAGTTCAAAGATGACATGTGAGGTTGTGTAAAAGTCATTTCTCACACCTAATTATTATTATTTTTTTTCTGGAATGGAATAGGGAGGGGTGATTTCATTAAATAATAATAGTCATTCGACACTTATAATCATTCCTTAATATATCTAAATTCTCAATACAAGAATTAAACACCCCTAAATTAATGGCATTGCTTCTGAATTGCTCCCAGATAATTTTAGATATCTTTACATCGTTCTTAATGAAGAACCATTGATGTATATATAGTCGCAAAAGTGATAAAACTTGATTAGTCATCAAGATCTGCAAATTTGCAAGACGAATTTTCTAAATCTGCACCCTTATACCAATAGACTCGCAATTCCACAATTTTCAAGACGTGTCTTTTAAATTTGTATCCTTATACACACTAAAAACAAACAAACAATACTAAATCCTACATGGAGGGATTGACTATAATCACCATACTGATGGTGATCTTCATTGGTAAAAGCATTAAATTATGGAAGAATTTGGGGCTTACCATCGATGACAGCCCCTAGGTTTTAATATGGTGGATAGGTTTGAAGAGAGAGAACAGAGAAAATTTTAGGGTTTTTGAAGAGAGGAATACCAATACCCAATTAATAAAAATAGAAGAAATCAATTTAAAACATTATGAAATGTAGAAATAAGAATTAGAAAACCAAATTGATTCATGTAATTCGTTGCTTAGGTTTTTTTTTTTTCTCAATAATATAGTATATATGTATATGAGAATAGATCTTATTTTGTTATGATTTGAACTTAAACATTTTAGGCAAAATCTCATGAAAAGATAGATGAATACATGAATGAACCAGATCACTTTGGAATATGTACAAAATAAATCCAAATTGATACAATGATAACAATAGATAGAGTATCGTATAAAAAGTTAGATTATTTGTCATAAAGTTAACCAATTATTTTTATGAAGTCTAATTAACAAATCATGATAGATGCGACCCTGATAACAACTATTGTTTTGGGTTTATAATTTAAATAAAAATCTTACTTTTCATTTTAAATATATCGTATCACGTCAGATTTTTATTCTCAAGATTATCTTGATTTTGTGCTTGACCTTTTTTTAAGTATAAAAAGCAAGAATAAGATCAAGTATCAAAGTATGCTTCAATTCATCGACAAAAAGGTAATTTTAATTACTTTTCTTCACAAAAAAAAAAAAAATTAAAATATGCTTTTATACAATTTTTGGGAGGAAATTAGCAAGAGTTGATCTCTAATCAAATTTCATTTTTATTGACCTACGATAATTATAATTATAATTTAATACAAGAAAGAATATTGGCTAGCAATGCATGTGTTTAGCCTAGAATTGAATTTTTTATATTTATCATTTTCATGAAATAAAATGTATTATTCTTAATAAGTTAGCTTTTCTTCTATACTTATTTTGTTGTTGTTATTGATATTATAATATGTGTTTTTTTATCACTAGTAGAATAAATGTGATGGGAAGCGGTTTACAAAATCCGCTTCCCATTAGATTAATAAAAAAAAAAGAGGGAAGTGTAATGGCAAGCGGTTTTGGCGCGAACCGCTTGCCTTTTAACTAATGGCCAGCGGTTTGGCCTTGAACCGCTTACCATTAGTTAAATTGGCAAGCGGTTCAAGGCAAAACCGCTGGCCATTTAAAAAAAAAGCGGGATATACCCTTTTCTTCTCCTCCCTGCGAAATTTCAGCAGCGCACTTCACTTCTTCGTTCTCACTTCACTCCTCCTCTCTGTTTCCCGCCTTCACTCCTCCTCTCTGTCTCCCTCGTCCTCACCTCTCTTCTCACTTCTTCAGATTCCGGCCACCACCACCACCACTCCATTCATATTCAAATTTTTTTTTTTATTTGGCTATTAATTGAAGCTGCGTTTGGGGGTCGTGGGTCGAGGCTGCTGCTGGTGGTGGGTCGAGGCTGCTGCTGGTGGTTGCTCGAGGCTGCTGGTGTTTGGTGGTGGTGCTTGTTCGAGGGTGTTGTTCAACCAAGCCCAAGCACGCATTCTTCAATCTTTATCTTTCTCACTCTCAAATTAGGGTGAGTTCTTGCTAAATTTTAGTTTCATATTTATTAATTAGTATTAATTGTTTGGTATTCCAAAATTTCAAGTTTGGGTTTCAAGTAGTTAATCCAAGTTTCATATGTATATATATATTGTTTGAATTTGAGTAGCTTTGAATGAAATTTATGAATAGAATATATATTAGTTAACATTTTAGTTTGTTAAATGTGGTTAGTAAATTGCAATGTATGAATATAATGGATTTCTACATATATATATGTATATATATGAGTAAACTTAGTTTGATTTTGTATGTATGTTAATTTAATTATTATCCCTATTTAAATGAATGAACTTGTTTATTGTTGAATGTCAAATAAATGCAAATAATAATTGAATGCTTGCATCATCATTTGCCTAGATACCCGTTCGAGTCTTTCTCAATAGGAGAAAGTCTTGAATAGTCCCCAGTTGGGACTGTTCTTGGACGTTTAATCTCACTTAGGTAGTGAATGTATGTCTCTTTTTCGATTTTAAGGAATATCCGGGCTTCTCATTTTCTCACCATGTTCTCTGGGTACATATGTAGGTAAGTTATTACCTACATCGTGTACTTGGAGAACTGGGGGGAAATGCTGCCGGATTTTCCTTAAAATTGAAAAGTTGACATACATTCTCTAGTGAGATTAGACGTTCAAGGATGGGTTAGGTTGGAGTGATAAGGACCTTTTGGGAGCATTCATTTTTACGATATATGGATGATATATATGCTATGTACTTTAATTACATAATATATGTTACATTTATCATTGTTTGAAATGTGTTGGTATGTTTAAAGGCAATTTAAAGCGTCAATGGATCGCGGTTGGATGTATGGTAGACGTGATACATTAGAATTTTTTAATGGGGTTCAAGAGTTTTGCAAGAGTGCTTCACAGTATCAGCTTAGAACGGGTGTCAATTACCTTTATTGTCCTTGTGTCAATTGTAATAAT